AACAATTCCGCTTGCTTCTCTGCGGAATTATCAGCTGCGACTCTCTCTCTCTCTCTCGCTCTCTGCGCATCGCAAGGTGCCAGCCAAACTCTATATGCTTTGACTTGCTTACGACTGCTCGTTTTCTTTTCTGTACATCCGCCGCAAGCTTTCTGCTTAATTAACCGCCTTGCCTCTCGACTGCTCTTCGACGCTTTTACGTCTCCCTCTGCAACGCGATCGATATACCAACTCGTAAAACTTGCTCGCATGACTCTCATACTCGAAGGAGGGAGAGGGCTATCGCTACGGAGAATACGCTCGGAAAGTATGAAAAGCATTGCGTCGAGCGGGCCTGCGGTAGCGGTCCGTTGTTACGAAAGCCTAATCGCGTTAATAGAAATGTGCCATCCTAGAAGCGCGCAAATATTCGGTTGTCCCGTCCAAAGTGACGAATCGCCCAGTGGCGTGCAAAGAGCGGGCATTAGCCATGGGATTAAGCAACGAGGAGGCGCAGCGCGACCGGAGGCAGAGGCGATCGCGGACTCGCCTCGGGACTGGCGAGACGACGGTCGTCGGCGCGGGAAAAGCAATTAGCACGCGATTCCTCGGAGAGCTGGAGGTACGAAAAAAGGTCGGCGGAAGCCGGGGATGGCCCTCGAAGTAAAAAGCCCGGCGAGGTAAGAGCGCTGTGCTCGAGAAGAAGCCCTGGCGGCAGAAGAGAAGCACGAGCGCGCAGAGCTGCGAATCACGCCGCGGCGGCGCCTAATGGGCGGCGACGAGGAGGGGAACGACGGAACGGCGCGCCTCTCCTCCGCCGGCTGCCCCACCGGGCATCCGCTGCTCGCTCGACGCGCCAAGGAGGAGAGATAACGCAGCCACTTCTCGCGGCTCGCGGCGGCTCGCAGCGGCGCGCAGCAGCTCGCGGGCGACCTGCTGTCGAGCGAGCAGCCCCGCGCGATTTACGCCGCGTGGACTTGCTCGCCCGAGCCCCGCGCGAGGCCTGTCAGGCGCGCACCACGAGCGAGGGTGCCAAGCGTTTGCGGCGCCCACCAGCCAAGCGGCTTTCTACCGGTTTTATTGCGCTTTCATCGCTCCACTTATGATTTGCTCTCCTCGAGTGAGAACCAAGTTCGGTAGGTTATTTATCGAGCCGCTCGAGAGGACAGAGAGAGAGAGAGAGAGAGACAGAGAGTGGCGATTAACGAGGCATGGCCACTTCCCCGCTGACTAGCTGTACTTGTCGTCGCGCGCACGGACCGCAGGACATCGGCTGCGAGCGTTGCACGGCTGGACGAGGCTCTAATTTATGTCGATACACGCGCGCAGCTCGGCGAAAACTTGGCCGAGGTTCTGAAGCTCTAACGAGCTGGTGCTCCCCCTCCCCCCTCTCTCTCTCTCTGTCTCTCTGTTGGCGACGCGGATTCGCGATGAGCCTTATACGTGGCTGCGCACGATAGCGCACGCGCTCCACTTAAACGTAGCCTTCGGAGAGGGCTCGATCTGATCGCGCGCCGCGAACGCGGCCTCGATACGGTTCGTGGGCCCCGACCAGCCCCGCGAGCTGGCGTCTCTGCTTATTACTCGCCTCTATCCGGAAGAAAAAAGAGCACGTACAGCTAATGGGCGACAGCGCTGGCTGCGACGGCGGTTACCATGATGAAAAGGCGTCTGCTCGCTGCCCTCGGTGAGCGATAGCTACACACTCGCTCACCTACGGTAGCCGTGCTATTATTAGTGCGCGCACATGTGTGTGCTCGGCTACATAGGTGTACAGCTGCGAGCCGCTCAATGGAGCGCGATCGGTGCTTGCTATTATACGCAACGGCCGGCGCACAACAGCCAGCCAGATTCGCTAATTGCTCGGCTCGCGCGGCTTGGCTTATTTTTCATACGTCTTGGGGTGCCGGCGGCCCGTCTACGACGCGAGCGTCTTAAATCAATTGCAAGTGGTGCCACACCGCAGAGGGAACTATTCAATTATTGCGAGGCCGGCTACTTATCGCGCAGGCAAATCTGGCAGGCCATCCCCGTTACAATGCAGCCAAGTTAGTTTAACAAGCTGACTGACCCCTCTGCTATCGGCGCCGCACTGCCCTCGTCTGTACACGGCCAGAGAGAGAGAGAGAGAGAGAGAGAGAGAGAGAGAGAGAGAGAGAGAGAGAGAGAGAGAGAGAGAGAGAGAAATAAATGCAGCGATAAATTTAGCTATCCTCGGCAGCAGCCTGCCCGCGCCTTCGTGCTCGTGCCCCCCCAAAACTTGCCAGTCTCGGCGAGCTTCCTTGCAAGTCTGCCAGACCCTCCGACGACACCGACGACGACACTGCCGAGTTTCCACCGAGAGAGCCAACAACTGGTCGCAAGCGCGACGGCTTCGCGTATTACTCAGCCGTGCCGATCCGACCGCTCTGGCCGTCCGATGCACAATGGGCTGTACGTTACTATTGCGAGCGCCGCGAGCTGCGATACTCCGAGCCTTCTGTGCCGTTGGCGTCACGCTTATGGGTAAGCTAGGTGCGAGCGACGCGTGGGCATTGTCGGCTACTGACAGAGATACGGCCCTTTTTCCATGCCTGCGTGCTGTCGGCGCGGCGGAGGCAGTCAATGCTCTAAGCCCTTTCATTCAGCCAACGGACTATGCCACATCTTTACCGGCATTATTAGTCCAATACGGGCTTGTCGAGGTGTTAAGGCTATTGTTGTAGTTCTATTGGCGGCCCACTCCTCTCGTTCAAGTCCAAAATATAATCGCCTGATCGACCTCGGCAAACTGACTTTTTTTCGTTCTCCGTGAAAAACAGGTCCATTTTATTTTCAGTTCGCGATTGAACATTGGCGCAAAATGACGAAAATAAACAAGCGCGTTCAAAAGGTGCAAAGGGAAAGCAGGCAAGTTTTTCAATCTCCGATAATGTAAACGTGAATAGGAGCAAATCCAAGCGCAAAATCAAATATTGCTCGGCTGCGAGTTTTGTTGTTGTGCGCGCGGCGCGATTTTGTTTGAAATTCAACATTCACGTTGCAATTTAATAAAGCGATAAGACGAGAGAGTGCAACTAGCGTTTTGTTTTTCAGCCTGCTACATGTGCCGAGGGATGTCGAATCATATCAAGAAAAATTTCCGGTTACGCGTTCTTTTCACCGATAAAAATAATTTCGCGAAAACACATCGTTCACCTAGAACATTGTGGAAGCACAGCTCGCATGGTAGTTCAGATAAGCGATATGTTGAGCAGCACGGTGATTGCCAAGTAGAGCGAAATCTTGGAAATTAATTGTCAGATTTACGAGGCCCGCGAGGAGAAGCTTTAACAAAGTCTTAAAGTGTTTCAAGCTCCATCAAAATGTCAAACTCAGACGCACGTAGCAAGAACAACAGAGCACAGCTGACGGCGATTTCGCTTCGCGCGCTATATAGTGCATCTCTAATCTGCATAAAGCATTATCGTTGCTTGATGTTTGTGTACGTGCATTCGAGTCGACAGAACGCGATAAAACCCCGAGTCAGGAAATGTAAACCGACGCTCTTTTATTTTCCAGCCAACTACGAAGAATAGCTGCTGCGTTTTTCCAAAATTCAATCAAAACGGGAAAATGCCATCGACGATAATACCAATGGCCGCGGGAGCTCGCAGCAGCCGCAGTCGCAGCAGCATCAGCAGCAGCAGCATCCAATTCTGTTCAGTTTTCGGTGATACGCAAGCTCTCTCCCGACTTCTCCCTCTCTTCGACCAAGTGCACACACATGTGTGCGGCTCTTGGCCGTGACGCGCGCGCAGGTAGGGGACAATACGAGTCATCTCGGAAATTCCCCTCTTTCTTGCCGATCTCTCTTTTTAGAACTCCTTTTCTCTCTCCTCCACGGCTCTTCGTTTACTTATACTTTTGCGTTTCTATTCGCTCTTATTTGACTTCCTTTCATACCTTGTTCCGCTATTTTCTGCCGTATCTTTCTATTTTACACGGGATTCTTTTCTCGCTCTGCTTCGACGGTTTTACGCATTTCTTGACCTCTCTCGATCGTCCAGTGCGCTTTGTTGTCAAAACTCGTGCCAGGCTCTTGGCGACAACGTGAAAATGTGCATTTACTTGGAAAATAACTGGCCTCGCTGAATTTTGTCGCGACAAAATGTGTAGGCGGTTCATGTTTAGCTTATTAATCAATGCACTATCTCCGCCGTGTGTTTGTTGCCATTTCTCTTTGTCAGACGTTATCTGGATTTCTTTGTCATTAGAGTGCCCGATATGTCTGTCTCCATTGTTGGCCGTCAAGCTGAAAGCCATTTGTTCTTCGGAAGCTTGAGATGAAGAAAAAATAGCGAGCGCCGCGGGAAAAATAGATTTGGGTGAGGCAGAAGGGGGACTCTGAAACAAAGGTGAGAGAGTGCGAGCAACGAGGAAAGCGCGGGGGAGACGAAGAGCGAGACGCAGAGTGGTCGAAAGTTGGAAGCATGTGCAAGGCACGTTGTCCCTTATTCCCGTGGCAAAGTCGCGCCGGCGCTGACGAGACTTCGCGTCTCGATATCCACGTATCCGCGCTCTCTTTCTTTCTCTCATCTCAGGGCCATTCTCACGTGGGGGAGCCAAGTCAAGTTGGCTGCGGCAGCGCACGTAAACAACGCATAAAATGCAGTACGGCGTGCGTGCTATCGTGCAGCAATGGGCAATAGCTCCGGCGGGGGGCGGGGGAGGGGGGCTGTAGGGGAAAATCCCTGTTTTCCGCGCGCCCGTCAGTGCTCTTTCTCTCCGACTCGCTCGCTCGCTCGCTCGCTCGAAAAACAGAGCCACGTCGATCGCCGGCGACGGCGGTGGGGGCGGAAGGGAGGGGCGTGCGCTCAGCGCGAGAAAGGTGGGAGCAGCAGCGTGCGCTTAGCACGGGGGCGGTGGCTGTGCACCGCGTCCGCCATACAGAGCGAGAGAGAGAGAGAGCGCTCTCCCTCTCCCGTCGCCACCGCCGTCGCCGTGCGAGAGAGCTTGGAGCGCGACGGTGTGCAGCCGTCAGTCGCCCGAGCGAAGAGACAGCGAGGTGCAGAGACGAGAGCGAGCTTTCGCGCGGTCGCGTGTGTGTGTGCGTGTGAGTGCGCCGCTTCGTGTATACATTCCGCCGCTACTTCAGAGCAGCCCTGCCATGCCCTAACCTGGCACGCGCCCGACAACCTCTCTCTTTCTCTCTTTCTCTCTCCTCTCTTTCTCACTCTCTCTCTCTCTCTCTCTCTCTCTCTCTCTCTATTCCTCTCTCTTCCTCTCTCTTCCTCTCGATCTCTCTCCAGCTTCTCACCTGGCCGTGCCCGTCTCCGCCTTCCTTCCTACGTCCGTCCTCGCCCCCTTCTTTCTCATGAGCTCTCGCTGCGAAGTCATCCGGTGACGCTCGCGGTTCAACCCTTGAGTGCAGATTGATATTGAAACCTCGCTGTGGTCACCTGTGCACTTATCGCGTGTGGTACGCAGCCGCGACTGGAGCAGGAAGAGACCATTCCGTGATCCGAAACTCGGCTCCTCGCGCTGCCTACTTGTGCCTGCCAGGGAGCGAGGCGGCCTCGACGACCACGATAATTGTGCACCGGAGAACACGCCTCGCAGCCGAGAGCAGCTGCTGAACGCGCGGAGGAGAGAGACGGACAGGCTGCAATTAGCGCGGGTTCATTGTCACCCGAGAAGACGCGGAGAAGACGCGGAGAAGACGAGAGCGCACCTCCACCGGTTCTTTGTGCCGAGGCTCTGTTTCTCGCTGCGGAAACGGCTACATGTGCGAGGAGCGTGCGCCTACTGTACGCGAACATATTCGTCGGCGGGTCGTTGCTCAATAGCCGCTGCTGATGAGAAGCTCCCGAGTGGCCGATGCAGTTGCACAAGACTGCGCCATGAGAGTCGCGCTCGTCGGCATTGGTCGCCACAGTGCAGCACCAGCTGAAGCCCGCGTCGGCGCCAGCATGCAGCAGCAGACTTGGCAATCCTGAGACACGAGGTCGCCACCCTGCCTTCCACCTTTTACTTTTCCGTTATCCCTCCCCCTCCTCCCGACGAGCTCTCTTCGTCGACTAGACCTTGCTCGTTTCTTCCTCCGCCTTACCCGCAGCCTTGTGCTGCCGCCGCTCCCGTTAGCTTTCGTTGCTGTTGCTTCTCGGACACTCGACAATCCTGTTACCGATGCACCCCCGCGCAACGGAAGAAGCTGTGTCACTGCGATACTGACGACTATTTGCAGACGAGCATTGCTTCAAAAGCCGCACGGAATTCCAAGAGGAAGCCGGGGGAGCTTTCGTCGAGCAACCGTGATTACACGTTAATATGAGCATGACCCTCGTACGGAATACGTTTAAAGGTGAGGCACAACATTCGATACATCTTACTGCTCCGAGTTTACTACGAATCTTGGAGCTCGGATTACTCACGGAATTACTTGCCGTGCGGTTGCCGCCTGCGAAAACGTTCACTTTTCTTCTGTAATATTTGGGATATTCCCGGGAAACGAGAAAAAAAAACAGCAGCATTACAGGTGTACACAAATCCGAGGAACGCAAGTGTGCGTGACCCTGAAGCAAATGACAAAGGCGCTCTCGTTCGTTGAGCGAGCTGGAAGTGAAAAAAAATACATTTGTTGAGAAAGGGGAGAGGCGCGCTGCAGCCAAAACACGGCATTCGCTATATAATATACGTATGCTCGATGCATGCGTCTACCAGTTATTTCGTATTTTAATTGCAAGCTAAATCTTCAAGACGCATGTAACTTTAACGTATCGACGCGAAGACGCGAAGAGTCGCGCACGCAGGCGCTACTAGGCGATCATCGGCCATATTTCATGGAAGCGCGCGCATGCACGCACCCACGCACTCACGTTTCCGCCGGCAGATGCTGGCTTCTCTCTATACCTATATATACCCAGCTACACACCGATGCGACCAATTCCACAGAAAATTACCCACTTTTTCGAATGTTCTCAGGCCGCTCTCACCGCAATTTCACTCTGGGCGCTCTTAATTTTTCCATTTTATTATTCCACGTACTGTTACCCATCCGACGATCATTTGGCTCTTCACCGCGGATCTTTGTGACACTTTTTTTTGCCCGTAGACGTGCTACATTAATAAATCTCACTTTTATGTATTCCTCGTCGTTTTTTCCAATTTAATAACAAAACTAAAAACAATAGCATTATTATGGCTTCAAACTGCAATTTTACGGATCAAAATACCTCGATATAACAATAAGATATGCAAATTAAGATATAGTTTCCGCTATATTTTATTAATATTATGATTTTACATTTATTATTCAATTCCAAAAGAGCGTGAAAATTGGTGTACTTTTTTTAGATTGATTTTAGGATATTCACAAGAGTTGCGTACATGTATTTTTAGGATCTGTCTTCGTTTTGGTATACACGTAACGCTTCTACACGAATTGTTAAATTTTGTTTGTTTTTCTCCAAAACAATGTTTTTTATTGAACATGTAAACTTTTAGAATTATACATTTAAGATATGCACACGTTAGAGGCTTTTCACGTAAGGAGACAATGGATGTCAGACAACGGATGCGTACCGAAATTATCAAGGTGAAAGACGAATTTGTTTCACTCTATGATCGCATAAGACACGAGCAGTGATAAAAAATGTAGATGAGTTGTTGATAACAAATATATATATATATACACATTGCTCGCATCCTGCGTAATAACGGAGTTAAACACACGATTAGTTTTTAGCTCGATAACTGCGGTACACGACCGATATGCCCGTTGTCCGACGTTTTTTTTATGTAGAAAGCCTTTTAAAAATGTTCAATTGTATGATTGTCGTATAAAACCTTATGTGGCAATAAATCGTTCGCTAATTTCTCTGTAGAAACACTATAATGTCAAATAATATATACATTTTTGAAGCTAATAATAATATTTGATTTTCCGCGTTGAATAAATCAAAAAACAAATTCGTATTTAGTAGGAAACGAAGCCTTTCTTTTTAGGTTCTACTAATGTCATATATCGATACAATTGAAACATTAGAAGCGTGCACTCAATTTGAAAGTTAGGCAAAAGCGTCTAATTAACACATTTTTGGGTGGAATTTTCCATATAGTTGAGCTCAAAATTTGAAAGTACGCAGATCGTCGAGACCGTTGAGTGACTTGCGATCGCAAACTAAAGTATGGATTAATTGTCTTTGTTGTTGCTTGAGATTAAGCAATAGAAGCTAGTAGGAATGCGACCAAAAGAATAAAATTGCCGTTGATACGGTTGGATGTCGGTCAAGCAAAAATGGTAGTATCAGCGAAAACACCTTTTATATAATGCATGCAAGCGATAACGTACCTCAAGTTTTATCATCGTATGTGGCGGCCGTAAAAAACGTATATGCATAGACGAGAAAACGGCGCGTGGCTGCGCAGCCTCGGTTAATAATCGGCCTCATAATTAGATGATCCGCGTAAACAGATCTATGTGCACGTTGCGAACGCACGTGTCGAACGAATGGCTTTGTCGCGGTTTTCTAGCGGCCGCGCGCGAGAAAAATCTTCATCGCCGCTCTCTCGGTCGAGCGATAAAAGCACGAGGATGCCGCATCTATATTTTCTGCTGACAGTTTATCGGATTTTACTCGAAGAGCAGAATACTCTTCGCATGCGAGAGGTTCTCTCGAACCGTGGATAGATCTCCCCCCCCACTCTCTCTCTCTCTCTCTCTCTCTCTCTCTCTCTCTCTCTCTCTCTCTCTCTCTCTCTCTCTCTCTATGTTTTGCGCATTTTTGTCTCGACTCGTATTTCCAGCACTTTGTCTTGCAGCTTGATTCTTTGCCCTCGTTTGCAGCCAAACTGGCAATCAGTTTTGAATGCACCCTTATGCGGGCTAGAGCTCTTTTTCAACGCGACGAAAGCGATGCTCGAGCATGAAACTTTAGCGTTTGGTCGAACGGAGCACGGGAAAAAATGCGCCGCTGTCGGTGTCGGACTTTTAATCAGTTCTGCGAGAAACGGACAGAGCCTGATAGGGTCGCGCGACAGTCGGCAGGCAAAGATAAAGCAGTGGACGTTACAACAGGTCCTTCCGAGAAACGAAGTCTCGCGGATACGTAGGTAGCAGCGGTGCGTTTCTCACCTCTTGGCCCCTCCGGTTCGCCTACCTACACACCTATACACATTTATCCGCGAGTGAAATAGAAAGCCTAGGCAGCTTACGACGATTATGGGCCTGGTCGTTTACAATGGAGTTGCCGGCGATGAAAGACGAAACCTCGTGACTCGTTAGGTGGGACACGGGTGTTATTATGTTTCCACGCGCCTCGCAGCGGCGGCGCGGCCGGCATCACGCGCCCGTCCAACCTCAATGGCCGAGCTGCCGGCCGCTGGTACTGGCGCTGCCGCTGCCGCCGCCGCCGCCGCCGCCGCCACCGCCGCCGCTACGGCCAATTGAAACATTGTTTCGAGCGCAAGCGAGAGCGAGGTCACTGGCTTCTTCCCTGCAGCGCTCGCACATTGCTGCTTAGCTGCCCCTGCATGCCGACGCTCTCTCTCCAGCTTATCGTTATGATCCTTCCATTTGAACTTTCCGCCAGTCTGCTTTTCCACTCGGTTTGCTCCGATCAATCCGAGAGACGCGTTTGACGCGGTCCTCGCGCACGCGTATTCTTGCCCGTTGTCGAGGGACAGCGACAGCAGCCGTTGGGCGTTCCTCGTCTGATTCTCTGCTCGGGGACATCACCGGCGACTCGCGCGAGGAATCGCGCACCCGAGCGGCGCGCGGGCAGAAGTGATCCGCGAAGCCGCGTCGATTAACGGAAGCTGGCGTCTGCGTCGCCGGTTATCCCTGGCTCCCTCGCGGACAGCCGAGGACGGCACAGCGAGAGAGAGAGAGAGAGAGAGAGCGAGAGATCTGTTTGCCGCGACGGAATCGAGCCGCGCTGCAGCTTTATCTCCGAAAACCGACGCCTGGAATTGCAGCTTGGCGTGCCCGCTCGCGAGGTGGGACGCGCGCACGCGCGCCAGTGCCGCGGAGCGCGCGGCACGTCTCCAGATATCGTCGCGTTGCGCGAGCGTATCGATACTGTGCTGTGTGTCGGCCGCCAGAGAGAAAGGAAAGGGCAGGGCAGGTATGCCCCAGCGTAGGCGTCGAGCCGAGTCTCCCTCTTCTGCCCCCAAAACTCTTTCCAGATGTGACACGCGTCTGCGCGAGCGCACGGGCTCGAAAGGTCGGCGCGCACATGGCCCGCAGATTGTCGCGGCGATTCCCGAGACGGCTTCTCGATCGTCCTCTGCTCGCTCTATTCGCCACTCCAAATGAAAGCAGAGAAAGCCTGATCAAAGGGGCTCTGCTGTGCGGCTGTGTGGCCGAAACGACGACCAGCTTCCATCCGCGTATCTCGTGTTTGCGCTGCTTGGAACGATCAACTTGCGGATTTTCTTGTTTTCCCGAGCGAGTTGGAACGGGAGTTGCGTGGTCAGCGTCTGATTCGATGGCCAACTTGTCTCTGGCTGGTATATAAATGAAAGGACGGGTCGTCGGGACAAGGAGAAGGAAAAGTTTATCCGCGCAGTACGCGCGTCTGGCGAGTGGCGGCGAGCGTAAGCGGCGCGTCAGTCAGTCAGTGATGGGAATATAGGAGCTTGCGAGCGCGAGGAGAGGCATATCGCAGAGTGGATAATGTCCGCGGACATGTCAGGCTGGAGTGTGCGAGTGAGCGTGCAAAGGAGAGAGAGAGAGAGAGAGAGAGCGCAACGACCTCGCAGCAGCAGCAGCAGCAGCAGCAGCAGCAGCCGGAGATTCATTCCCTCTTTCTCTCTCTCTCTCTCTCTCTCTCTCTCTCTCTCTCTCTCTCTCGGCTGTATGTCCCTTCACGAGGGCCGAGCTTCTGCGCGTTATGCGCCGCTTACCACCACTTTGACCAATAAAACTTTTATGCTGTCCATTCGGTAGATTATTTTCTCTCTCGCCTCCTACTATTCGTCCAGAGCCAGCGTCACTTCTTGCCATAGCCTTCGTGCGCGCAACTCTTCGAAAAGCCAACGGTCGATCGGACTTGCGAGCGAAGGGGAGAAAACGCAGGCTTGTTGTCTCGAGGATTTAATTGGCGGGGTAAGAATAAACGAGTCTAAACGAGCGAGACGTTGCGCGTAAGAAGCCGCGCGACGACTAGCAGGTGCCCGACCACGTCGCTCGAGCCAGCGGTCAGCGCTAATGAACGAGCGTGCAGTCGGTCGCGCGAATTGAGCCCGCTTGAATGGCTGCGAGCGCGAGTCGCCGACGGGCGCGCCGTTGCGCCAATTATACCGATTACTCGCAGGTCGGGCGCGCGTCGCCGCGGACGTGCCGAGCAGCGTCCGCCTGGATTTCGGGCACGCATCGCGACGCGCGCGTGTGCCGCCGCGCTCGCCGACCGGATTTCGCCAACGGTAGATAGCTCTTTTCCCGGAAGCCCCGTGTGCGCCTCGCTCCGCGCCGCCCCCGCGCCGCCCTCGCGCGCGCCATCGATCCCCACCCGTGGCGTTTTCCTCGCGCGCGCTCCCCGCAAAACCGTCGGCTTCGCCATGGCGATCGTCGATGATAAGCGCGCTGCTCGCCGAATCGGAGGACGACGTTCGGCCGAGCACGAACGACGCGTACAGTCGGACCGAGGAGCAGCAGCCTCGCCCACGTCGCCGGCATGGCGCGCGCGAGCTCTCCGGCTCCCTCGCTAGCCGCCGCGCCGCTGGTCACTTATCGACGAGCTGCCGAGCACCAAGGACTCGTTCGGCGGATATCGCGCCGTGGACCATGTGCTTCCTTCCGATCAGCTGCGACTCCCGCCGAGCCACTGGCGCGTCCACTTTCCCTGACCTTTCGTTGCTTTCCATTGTGTTTGCCAATCGGAAAATCGCGCTGCTAATGCGGACCGCGCAACGCTAGCTCTGGAGGAACGCGTCTACTTCGATTCTCTTAACTGTTCCCGTGTGCGAGATTCCACGGATCGTCTTGAGAAACCGAAGAAAACCTGAAAAAACCTTTCTCAGTACCACCACGGACATCACGGTTCAGAGGCAAGATTTACCGGAACGCGACTACTATCGTGAGGCGAGGTTCTGTTGGAAGAGCAATTTTTATCGTACCACCCGCTAACTCCGTCGACGCCAGCAAGTCTGCAAGGCTTCTAATCCCCCTAACAATGTGTTCTGGAATATTTCTAAATTGTGACGGGGCGAGCATATCCTTAAGGGCTCTCGGAGAGGAATGACAATTTAACACTAGAATTTGTTTTACTCAACCAAGCAACCACCGATTCCCCTTTAGTATCGTGCTTTATCCGCGTTTTCCCCGCCAGCTCCCAATTCGATTTGTATGAGTTGGAATACAGAAACGAATGAATCATCTCCGCGGAACCGAAGAAAAAGGCAATCAATACTTATAGTATATTGGAAGGATAGAAAAGCAGCGTGGAGCTACGGTATGAAAGTATTCAACCTTCCGGCTTATAATCCGAGCGAATATGACATGCGTCTCTTGATATTTTTTATCAGGTATTTCCAAATAACTTTGTCAGCTTAAACAATACACGCCTGATCGCAGTGACTTGTTTGGAAGAGCGCCGTGAGCTATTTATCTGGTCTTGGAGGAAGATCTCGTAACGAGCACTGGCGAGCAAACAAAAGAGCAGAGAACGCAGGTCGCGCCAGCGAAAAAGCGACGTACGCTCGGTCGTGATGTTTGCAAATGCGAATCGATAGGAAGAAAAATTGCGCGTGCTGTCTGCGGCGAAAGATTTATTTATTAAGTTTGCTCATGGCAGGCGCCCATGGAAGGGAAAAAGGCGGGAAACGGCGCGCAAATGCGCGAGCCCGAGTAAAAGCCTGGCGGAGGCATGAATCGTTGTTGGATCGATAATTTCGCGTTCCAACGCGCGATAAGGCGGAAAGCACTTGCTTCGAAACGCTTCGCTTTGGCCCGGTTTGCTTGGCCGAACTGCGTCATCACTCTCTCTCCCCGTCGCGAGTTATCGCTTGCTCGTTTGTTTTGCTGTTTTCCCAAGGCGCTCCACACCTAAACCACGGAGATCGAACGACATTCAAACGGACCCCACGGTTATTGGGTTTTCGACGCACTTGGACGTCTTTGCTCCGCGGCTATGACGAGCTGCAGTCAGGCGGTCGTCTTTGCTTCGGTTCAGCGCACGGTCGGAATAAAAAAGTAGGGGGCCTGCACGTGTAGCGAAAAAACATGCAGCAATCGCGGCTCCGATTGATAAGGACGTTCGCGCGCTCGATCGGACAAGGCACTGACGCACAGTGCAATATCTTAATTGTTGGTCTTCGTAGCGCACAAAGGACTGCGAGTCGTTGATCATTGGCCAGCTAGGTAAACGATGCAGTGCTCGAAGAGGAAGGAGGGTGGCGCAGTGGTGGCTGATCAGTAAGGAAGCAGCGCGTCGCCCGCGGGCCAAGGAAGGGAGAGCTGGCGCGTGGTCGCGCTCGCGGCGAGGAAAATCCATACGCGCGCGCGCGCGCCGCCGCCGCCGCCGCCGCCCCGCTGCCGGGCGAGCAGCACGAGGAAAGCTCTGGCCTCGTTGCGAGCGCGCTGCATCTAGCCAAGGCGCGCCAGCCCAGGGAGCCGGCGCCGCCGCCGCCGCCACCGCCGCCGCCACCGCCGCCACCGCCGCGAGCGCGTCGAACGCCGAGAGCAGAAAAGGTCGCGGCTTTGACCCGTTTCGGGGCGGGCAGCGAGCCGCGCTTATCGAGCGCTCGCTCCGCGCACACGTACACAGACCGAGAGCTTGCTCGACGAGCTGCACACCTCGCTACCACGGCAGAAGTTGTTCCGCCCGCGCGGCCGACCGTCGCCGCGCCGATAAGGAGTCACTGCGCGGACGACGATCGCTGCCGCGCTAGCTCGTCCTTCGTTTCGGCAAAACAATCGCGCGACCGAGCGTGCCATTGTTGCTTTCAGCCAATATTTCTTGCTTGCGATATTTCGCTTCCGAACGCGATTGCCCGCCGCACCACTGCACCATCTATATTGTAGCATTGAAATCCTGTCGCGCGCGGGCGCCGATAAAAGCATTTGCATTCAGCCGGCAAGTCGAGCGTGAGAGTCCGTGCACGCGCGCCAACAATGTCACAATTAATTGTCAACGATGCTCGCTCTAATCTCCGCCAGGTACACGCATAAGCGGGCGCGCGTTCGCGTATCACGCCCAAGCACAAAAACCTGGACCGATACAATACGCACGTGTCGCGCGTCTAAGCAGGCTTTGTCGAGGCAGCGACACCTTTATCGATGGAAACACCACTGACCTTCCCTGCCTGCATTCGGCCCAATCACCCGTACAATAGCACCGAGTCCCCCGCACAGCCCACCCCTCATCCCGGCCGTATGTCTACCTTTGCCTACTGCCTTTTACTACCGGACTGGCCTGTGTTTTTTATCTTCTCTCGCTGGTTTTTTCAGCCCCTCCATCTGCGTAGACCACGTAGGCGCGTAGGCGCTCGCTTGGTCACATTCGGCAATTTTTGCTAAATAAAATGGAGCGATGCCACGGTGGCGTCTCTTCCGAATAGGTGGCTCTTTGACGACGTCGATATCTAGACCTTCTGACTCGCAAGCCAAGAATAATCTAGTCCAATATCGAAAAGCTATATTGTCCAAAATCCACAATGCTTTTCAATATCATCGTAGTAGCAGTATAATGGCGATTGGCAAGAAGGGCACTGTTTCCATTGCAGCGCGAATGCGATAAAAAGAAAAGAAGAGCGTGCATGGGTAGAGCGAAGCAATGGGAGAGAAAGAATAGCGGCTGCGCGCGTTTCGCGGGCGTTCGGTGACACGCGCTCCCTTTCTCTCTCGGCTTCGGGATCACGGGGTTACACGGCTGCTCGCCCGACGCGAAGCGCGGAGCGAGGGGGGAGGTCAGCAGCCATGCAGCCGCCGGCAGGCTTTCAGCGGGAGGAAGGGAGTGGGATTGTCTGGCTCGTGATGAAAATTGCGGGGATGCTTAGGCGCAAAGCGCACACGCGCTGTCGAGAGCCACATAGCCACCCCCTCCCTTTAATAGCGATTCGTCCATTTGCCGCCGACATTACAGGCGATCCGCTTAAACCGTAGTAGCGGCTTCATTCGATATAAACGACGCTTTAGTGGTTGTATAGTTCGTCGGCAAGATTTGCCGCTGCAAACGACGTCGACGGCCGAAGCTTAGCCTGGAGCGGGAAGTCGACGAAGCGAGCAAGGAGTTGAGCCGACGAGTGACCGCGCGTGATTTGCGTGTCTCAGGGTGCAACGAGGACGAGGCAGGTGCCGACGCGGAAGTGGGCGGCTGCGCGGACAGCGTGGCGAATGGCGGCACTGTCGGCGAGGGCGGCGCGGAAGGTGGCTCCGAGTGCACCGCCAACGCGGCTGCGACCACCACCACCACCACCACCACCGCCACCACCACCACTACCAACAACGGCGCCGCCAGCAAGCAGCAGGCAGCCAGCAGCCAAGAGCGCTGTCCACAGTGTGGCATCGTCTGCCGAAACTCGCGCATACTGCATCTGCACGTTGAGGACCAGCACAAGGCCCCCTTTCCCCAGGACAAGCAGGACTTGCAATTTCCGCAAGTTGTGAGTATCAATCGACCCAATCACGCCGCACGACTTGTCCTCCCCATTGAAAACTGACCGAGCAACTTTCTGCCTCTTGCCCCAGTCGTGCAAGGTATGCAGCAAAACTTTTGCGAACGTGTACCGACTGCAGAGGCACATGATCAGCCACGAGGAGAGCGCGGTTCTCCGCAAATTCAAGTGCCCTCACTGCGAGAAGGCTTTTAAATTCAAGCACCACCTCAAGGTAAGTTATACCGCCGTCCGGCTGACGCCACCACCGGCCTTCCTTAATTTCATCAAACTCGTCAAACGCGCCTTCACCGACAATCAAAGGTTTCTCGGTAGCGGCGTAGACGAGCTAATTGATACAAAGGACAAAATGAAGAAGAGAGAGAAAGAGAGAGAGAGAGAAAGAAAGAGGCGGAGCCACGCTTGCGACGTTTAACGAGAGCCTTCAATTACAGGAGCACTTGAGAATACACAGCGGGGAGAAGCCCTTCCAGTGCATCAACTGCCACAAGCGATTCTCCCACTCGGGCTCCTACTCCTCGCACACGACGTCCAAGAAGTGTCTCGAGGGTAACGTCAAAAAATCCAGGCAAAGCGCAGCCAATGCGACAAGCGCTACTACCGAACGAAACGCCTCGACCGGCAAAAAATCCCAGCAGCAGCAGCAGCAGCATCAGCAACAACATCAACAACAACAGCAATCCCAACCTCAGCCACAGAGACAGCAGCCGCCACAGTCGTTGCAGGTACGACGAGAAGCCGAGCTCCTCGCGGCCAACAACAACACCACTTTCATGCCCATTCTGCCGAAACTGTCGCCGTCGGATTATCGAGAGATACAGCGCGAAGCTGCTGGTGAGTTGCTTTCACTCTCTACTTATGTATGTTTGATCGGCAGAAACGACCAATGACATTACAACCTTTTTGTTCAAGTAGCAGGCATGTACGACGTGCCCACGCTACTACCTCACATGATGAACTTCGGCAGCTACTTCTTGCAGTCCTCTTTAGGCAAGATTCTCAGCCAGCTACACGCCAAGCAGCAAGAGCAGCTCAGCCACACGCAACAGCAGCAGCTCAGTCAACTTCACTATCAGCATCGCCAGCATCAGCATCACCACCAACAGCGCAATCATCGGATGGACGAGGCGAGCAGTGAGCACTGCGATGCGCTAAGCCAGCAGAGCGAAGCGGCCCTCAGCCCTTCGACCACCCTGATCGACTCCGAGGGCACTATCACCGAAGGCACCGAAGGCGGCAACGAGTCGCCCATCTCACCACCTCCTCCGCCTCCGCCTCTACCTCCGCCTCCGCTTCTCCAGATCCACCGGCCCGATCAGCCCCAGGATTTAGACGCCGTACGTCGGATTCTCGAGACCGTCAACACCTCTGTCACCAAGCAGCTGCTGGAAGCCAACGTGAGAAAGCTCGCCAGCTCGCCCTCGATGACGATCAAACGCGAGAAAGACGAAGTAAGTGGAGGGTTGGATCTCGTGTTCCTTTTCAGTTCATTGTTCAGCGGCTCATTATTCGGATTTACCTATTGTTGGCTCCACAGGACCAGGATAGCGAGGTGTCAAGTGAAATGGTCGGCCAGTGGTCGGCCACCGAGCATACGGACTCGCAGTCCGAAGGTCTAGTTGCGAAGCTGGAAGAGGCTCGTCACCGCAATGGCTCACCCTCGCTGCGACAATCGCTCAAGCGCAAGCGTGAAAACGGATTGTCGACCCACACTTCCGAGGTCGACAGCGAGGAAGAAGAGCAGCACCAGCATCAGGTCGGCACGGGGCGACGCGTTAGAGCTAGGTCTCTCATCGACGACGACCAGCTGGCCGTGCTCAAGAGCTACTACGCCATCAACCCTCGACCAAAAAAGGAGGAAATCACCATGATCGCAAACTACATCAACTTCCCCACGCGAGTTGTGCAGGTTTGTTTTCTCGCCCATTCTGTGCACCTTTTCTTTCCTCCAAACTTGAGCACTTTGTAACAACATTTTTTCACTTTTTAGGTTTGGTTCCAAAATTCTCGTGCGAGAGATCGACGCGAGGCTAAAATTCCAGCTCTCTTGCCCTTGTCGAGTCTTGGCAACCACGTCTTCAATGATCAGCCTCTCGATCTTTCGAAAAAGGATGTGATCAAAACACCTCCGATGAAGGATGTTCACGAGATTACTACTAGAAATGCTGTTTCGCCGTATGCTTCCAAGGAGGACGCAATCACGCCAAAAGTGCTAGCAAACAATAATATAGAAACGGAGGACGCTGAAGAATCGCGCCTTGTGATCGACGAAGGGATGGCTGACTCGGCTGAAATAAAGCACTCGACCATGCCTGTTGAGGTCATTATAAAGGTACGAGATTATTTCATTCGATCGTATGACGCTGCGCTACGTAACTTTTCAATCTAATTCGGCTAATTGTTTCCTCTAGTCTCCGTCTCCAATCATTCCAACGAAAAATGAAGAAATAAGAATCGCGGATTCTACTCCACACACAGGAACGGAACAAGAAGGCCTACACTTTTGTAATCAATGTGATAAAACTTTCTCCAAACACAGTTCTCTTGCGAGACATAAATACGAACATTCCGGTGAGTTATTGTGAATGTAGTTGAAAGATGAAACGAAGGAATGATTTGAAAATCAATTGATATTGTTACAGGTCAAAGGCCGTACAAATGTCAAGAGTGTCCAAGAGCATTTAAACATAAGCATCACTTGACGGAACACAAACGACTTCACAGTGGTGAGAAGCCTTTCCAGTGCTCCAAGTGCCTCAAGCGCTTCTCTCACTCTGGCTCCTACAGCCAGCACATGAACCATCGTTTTTCGTATTGCAAGCCTTACAGAGAATAAATGACAAATAATTCTCGTAAATTACTTGCCAAGCAAGTCATTCAAAATGAAATCCAGTGAGAAGTATATAACATCATCCTCTGATACAAGTAATAGAAAGACAAATATAAATTTATTATTATATTATATATGTACGTTATGTAGATTTATAAAAGCTCGAGCAAAACGAAGAAAAACTAACGATCTATTGTCGGTAAAGCTTCTCTCCGAAGTGTTGCTTTACCGTCAGCCAATGTTCTCGATTGAATTATCAGATATATTATTGATAAACGAGAATAGATAGATAGGTCAAAGTAAACGAAAGAAGAGAAATAAAATATGACTTAGAGTAACCAAAAGACGTAACGGTACCAAAAAGCATCATGCAATAATCTATTATATACATGCGATATATAGCATACATAATATTTTATTATTTTTATTAACAAGATATTATATGTACCATGACAATAATAAGGAAACTAATTGATGTACAAATTGTTAGATGACTAGAGGAGTCCACTAACGGAGGAATTGGTAGGGTGGGGGTGTGAGTTTATTCGCTTTTTCGGTTCTAAAAGTTGCAGAAGTTTATAAAGATATGATAATATGCGAGCATTGTGTACATAGAATATTGCGAAAAGCGTCTACATTATGACAAACTATTTAGATTGTAAGCACTAAGAAGTATAACTAAGGGAAAACTTTCATTTTAAGTTTACGCTAAGTAACTTTTTTACTGTATCTATTATTTTATTAGCTTATATCAACGTTTTTTGATGTTTTTTAAAATGTATTATAAGGTCGTGTTTTTTTCTCCGTTTTACGATAATTGCAATCAATACATGTAGCTCGTTTCCGTTTGTATATGATGCACTCGTTAAAGTTTTACGTACTGCTATTTTAAGTGACATTTTTTTTCGGCAATGAAAACAAAAATCCGATTTTTTATCAATGTTAATTTTACTCTTAAATATAAATTTTTTTTTTGTTCATTTGAAACATTATAAAGAAATCGTTCAATGAGTGCTCATTCCACAAGTAATTTTTAGAAAAATGAAAGATGCTCAAGACAAAAAACTCCAATGCCAAATAAATCTAGTAAAGGGCAATATTGCGGTTTAAATATACTAAGTCATAGTGCTTAATGTTAAGGTCGCTTTGCCGAATGCGTGATAAATTTTGGTTTTCATCGTATCCAGTTACAATAATGATTATCAAACGTGTTTCTAAAAAATTTCTGATACGAGTGATCAATTTTTCTTCTTAATGTCTATTTATCGTTTGTACTGGTGGTTTGTAAAAGTTACAGGTAACAAATGAAAGTACAACGGATTTTATTCCATAAAGATTATTTTAGGCACATGATAAAATCTACTGAGCACATGAACTTCAACTAATTGTAACGTTCTTTACTCGCACGTTTTTAAAGCAAAAAAATAAATAACGAGATTAATTATTTAGCGATTACTTAATAATTTATTCATACACAGTAGTAGAAATACGTTCATGGCTTTTCCATAATGACCGTTACTATTGTTTTTGATACTGCTGTTCACGGTACTTATCAATTTTATTCTAAAAAAATATACTGAATTCCAAACGTTATGACAATAATAAAGTGATGAATGTGAAAAATATTTATTCCAGTGCCAAATTTTGACATTTGTAAGGGATGAAATATATGTTAATCGGCAAAGTGGCATAAATCTAATGGAAGGTATGCAAAGTGATAATGTTGAAAGAATGCTGGTAAAAAAACAATGCGAATTCCAGGGCCTTGTGGATAAGTGAAAAATACTAAATGCGAGCATGATTAACAACAAATTTAAGTGTAACTAACTTTATATATGTACTTATATTTTTATAACTTTAATGCATTTGGGAATGATTTCTATTTCAAATCACATTCCATTCTTATTTTTAGAATAATAATTATGAAAATGATAAAAACTTTGGAAATAGGAGATAATAACTTTTGCAGTAACGATTTGTTTCCAACGTTGAATAGTATATTTATTTTTATTCGTACTATCATTGCGCCATAATTATTTGTAAAAGACAATAAGCAAATAAGAAAAAGTTTATAAAATTAAAAATTTGCATTGATTTTTTTGCATTGCTGCTCGCAAAGTATATTGTTTCATTGTAATCCCCGAGGTTCAGCGAATTTTCCAAAGATCTGTATGTATATAAAGTGAAATGCTTTCAAATATTCTATTGTATGGAAATAAGTCAGTAGAAATGATTATATGCCAATTTATACAACTTTCATTTAATTACAAATACTTTAGATAAGAAAACTATGGAAAAATCTACACAAAACATTGAATACTCAAAAACATATTTTATAAGAGTTTATTCGTTTTTTATTTTACACGTACCATGGATACTAAGTGATATTGTTATTAATAAAATGAGTAGCATGTGCACGATAATATATTCAGGAAGAAAATGTAGTATTATCTTTGCGTGGATGCAAATGTTACAAACAGTTGAATATTCTTAAATGAAATACTGATAATTAAGGATAACATTTACCTAAGGGGAGACTATATAAAATAGATACATACGTTAGTCAGAAATTTCCATAAGGGGTGGACATTACATAATTGTTTGAAGACGACTATTTCATAGCAATCGATACGTATTTTTATAAAAATAAATTTGATATTTATATTATACATAAATTGTACATAAAATATTTTTGTCAGTAGCAAGAAACTTTAATTGCATATAATATTTATGCTCTATTTTACTAAAAAAAATCATTCTCCTCGCACGACAATAACAGAACTAACAATGTTCAATATAACAAAACTATTCTACTATTATGATCAAAGTAAGCTCTATCCAACTGTTATCTGTACTAAAAAAATCGGTAATTGAATATACAATAAATATAAAAAGGTTCAATTAATGCTTTCCATTTGCTGATGTTTATTTTGCGAAATAAGCGCTGTTATTAGTCGTCAGTGAGACCTTTTCAATGATTAATTTGTCCACTCCAAAGGGAACATGTTCTGACAGAAAGGTTTCAAATTTGTGTACTTCCTTAAGTAGAAGCTTCGGTTATCCGGGATAGGCATCGTGTCCAACATTGATATGCAAAAGTAAAATCGACATAAATATAATAGAAATAGCACGAAGTTAATGACGCTCATAATACTCATCTATTAGTGTTAACACTTAAAAATATATATTTTTATATAAGTATAGCTACTAATTATGATAAAGTAACTACTACGAGATGACATACACTCAGAGAGTTGATGTACTCTTATCCAACCCCCACCCTTGAAAAATTTACTGCGTAATAGAAATAATTAGTCCCGATTTTCTCCAAGTAGATCCTACAGTAAACAATCATTAATTATTTACTGTGATTGTAATAATTATTGATTATTCACTGTAATTGTATTACAGTAGGTAATCAACAAATGTATGATGCAACATTACTATCACTGTATTTTGAGAATTTCTAACAATTCTTTTATTACTTTCTTCGTGCATATTTTTTCTGCGTTACGATATAGCATTTATTTGAATTTACAAATTTTCTACTTAAGAATTTGTGATACCAAATTTTTGTCTCACAAAGTCTCGCCTGCATTTTCGTAATGTATAATGAAAAATTTCGTGATTCTATTTGAATAACGTTTATTCAATCGTTTTAGATTGGCATATTCAAGCTCAAGACATTTGATCTTTCACGAAATTCCTTTCAACTGCTTCCGGATAAACGTGCATACATTTTATGCATGTATAAATTTGAATTGAAATAGACGACGAACTGGTTAACACATACTAAAATATCGGTGAAACACAAATGAATTATGAAATTTTTCTAGTTGATTTCAAGTTTAGACAGCTAGTAATGAATAAATGAATAAGCAAGTTGAATCGATTCATTGATGAAAAAGTAAGAGTAGTGCATTCTTTGATTCGATGTAAGTTAAGCTTTTGCTCTTGCATTTTTAAAATAATCACATTGAAGAATACATACACGGAATGCAGTACATGTAAAAAATATTAGATATTATTTCGTTTTTAATCCTGTGCCATTAAAAACTTTTATATTTTAAATAAAAAGCTTTTGCAGTTGTTGAAAATCATATTTGAATTTGCATTGTGCAAATAATAAAGAAGGTTACTCATTTATTTTCTGATTTAATTTATTTTGAGTTTAACTCAGATACGCTACGATTATTCTTTAATTTAAAATACTGACAATAATTCGAAATCATAGGCCTTGCTAGGTCTTGTATTCGGATTCTATAACGCTTTCACATTCCTTGACATTCATACTTTGTGGGTGCAAAAAACACGAGATTGATTTATATCACAATATTTCAGTAAATAAAAGAAATGCAAACAATATTTACTGTTCGGAGAACTGAAGAAGAGATTGTTAAACGATTGTTTATGCAACGATTATAATAAAGCGCCATACGATGCCTTCCGTGAACGACCGAGCTTGGCTAATTGCCAAAAATGTGTCACATTGAATTAGAGGGAAGTTTGGGGAAAAAGAAACAGAGACAAGAGAGAGAAAAGTAAAATAATTTTTGGCATTTTCCGTGCTTCTGCGTTCAATGCTTTGATGATGTTCACTTTCATCGACTTTAAAAATGAACGACTAAGACACTTCAATGTATGCATTTACTGATATTTTTTATGCATTTACAGAAAAAAGTGATTATTGACAATAAGTAAAGCTGACAGTAGAGTTGAAAAGTTCGAAAATATAACACTAATGGAATCATCATCATTTAAAAATCTCAGTAAATACTTGTTTTTTAGATGTGTGATTGCATTATATATTAAAAATAATACTAAGCCTTTCAGTTTCAAATGTAAACATTAATAATGAACAAAAAAGTCGAATATTATAGATAAATTTTTAAGAGTATATACATTGTGATTGTAATATCCATGTTTCTATGTAAGTAAAACAGCAACAATGTGTCTTATTTTAATCTAAAATAAAAGCTTTGCAAGTTATAACTTCATATTGCTTGAGTCGGAAAAAGTGAATGTTATCAAAATCAAAATATCGTTGAAAATTTGAAATCGTGCTAATGAATTGATGGTTAAGCCAGTGAGCTTTTCGTGACTATAATACATGGGTATAACGTGTATATGAAAAAATTGTACATATACAATTTCATTCTGCAGACAATAATTTGCCGTTTTACAATTAATTACTGTATTATGATGCATAGTAATTGAATAAATATAAATAGACAAAAATTATAGTATACCCCTAGGCCTATATAAAATATAAATTTACGAAATCGATAATAAGAAAAAATATATATATATACATATGAGAAATATATTCTATATATAAGTAATTGCAGTCAACAGACGGTGTTTCATGAACAACAATGATTCGATAATATGCATAAATTATAAACTTGAGAATGAAATTTACTTAAAGTGAACTATAAATGCAATACGTACTCAAGGACGATATGAAAATAAATTAATGTAAAAAGTAATGTAAATATTGAGAAAAAAGGATGCGCTAATCAATACTGAGATGTATTATAATAAACAATGAAGGGAAATTTTGATTTTATGTAATAATGTACACTCATTATGTAGATTACGCAATAATAAATCGAGTCTGTCCTTTTTTCTCAATCAGCTTAAGCAACTATTGCGTCTTGTATGTTGCAGTGCAGATAACGAATTGTGAAGGAAATATTTAAAATAAAACTAGACAAATAGGAAATATGAATATTGTATTGTGACAAAGTTCCATCCATAAATAAATAAAATATTATACAGTTAGGCCGACTTTTCCGCCAGTTCGTGCCTTTTTTCTGCAGTAAGAGCTTGTGCAAGCGCATTTGGAGTTACGATGTTTCACTCAATCATCATCAAATCTTTGTTATGAACATTGTTGATTACCGCAAAAATGCTCGTATATATTTGTCTCTGCGTAATGATTATTTTTACCTTCAGGTTGACATAAAACTGGATATATTCGTTGCGATAGGTGACAAAATATCGAGGGGAAACTATTTGGAAATTATAATTGCTAAAGTTATTAAAAATGAATGTACAATCATATTATATAACACGATAAAGAGTGACAATAAAATATTATTCACATATAAACATTTTATACGTTTTTCCATCATTTTAGTTATTTGCAAAATAACTCTTCCGGAAAAGCCACTAGTAGAATCGAATTGCTGTCAGATTATTATTAATAATATTATTATTATTATAATTATACTACGCAATCGGAATGAATTTCTTGTATCAGTAACGAGCATATAATGAGTGAATATCGCGCAAAAGTACTCCAAGGGATATTATATTTGTTTTGAACAAAGTAACAGCTCTTTAAACGTATATTCCAGCGCAAATAACGTAAACGAAACACACAAGATTGATGATAAAACATGAAAAAAAACCTGCTGAAAAAAAATTCAAACGATAGATTTAGCGAAAGGTATTAATAATGCTATATTTTCCGAGTATCAAATTAAGCGGCGGTACGATATCTAAAATATAAGTAAATATAGAAAGTAAATGAGTTCAGGAATTTTCTTTTGTAATAGAGCTAGCATTGCAGAAAAAAACAGTTTAATACAACATTCTAGAATTGTTGCTCGTTGTTTTTTAGTTAATATCAACCCGACTATACTTCAATGCTGATGTTGCATTACTTTTTGTATCATTCTTTTTACACTTCTGTATAATAAATCAATAAAATGCGTTAAATTCATGACAATGTGTGAGCATATCAAACATTTCATATCTTTTTTTTTCTTTAATTAAAAGCTTGTTTATTCCCCCATTGTTTTTACATACACATCATATTAAACTTGATCTTTAGAATACAAAATTACAAAAATTGTTTATATTTAAAAAATAGTATAGTGTGGAAATTCCATTTTTAACAGATTTCAATAATAAAGAATAATAAAATATCACAGTGGTACAATATAGTCCGTGCCAGGATATTCTGGTAAATTAAGTTGATATGATGTTTCCAATTTTTTGGGCACAAATCTTCCTCCAAGATAATGATGCTTTCCAATAAATTTATGGGCGCATAGTTTAGGTGCTGTTAATGATATCAACATTTCTGGTTTAATGGCATTTTCTGCTGGAGGACCAGTTTCAACATTCCAACCTGATGGGATATCAATACTACATATAGGAGCACTTGAATTTTTTAATATATCAATAATTGGAATAAAGTTAGGTCTAACTGGCGGTTTGAAACTAAATCCAAACAAAGCATCTACAATCAGTTTATAAGATTTTGTATCTTTAACATCTGCTGTAGTTTCTAAAACTGGAATATCATTTTCCATACATTGATGAAATAGATTTTGATACAAAGTATTATTTGTTCTTTGTGGATAGTAAAGCTCTGGTGAGTAGCCAAAGATTTTCAAATGTCTAGCACAAACAAGGCCATCTCCACCATTATTTCCTGGTCCACAACATACCAAGATAGCATTGTTGCTGTTCGAAGACAATGGATAACATTTTGCAATGGCAATGGCACAACTTTGACCAGCTAATTCCATTAATTGATCAACACTAAACTTATATTTTTCGAATAACTCCTTATCAACATTCATTGCCTCGGATTGATTAAGGTACTTGACCATTTTGGATTGGTTTCTTATATTTGCCGATCTGAATACACTGTTGCAGCAATAGTACAGCTGACTGCAAGCAAGAGATTTTAATCGTATACTAAATGATATTAACTTATGTTGACAATTCAAGACAACTTGGGTCATTGAGAGATTGTTTACTGCGTAGTATTGTGTACGATTAATGGTATTTCCACCTAGAGAAATACAAATTTAAGAAGTGCCGGTTGAGATAAGGTTATTAACGATACAAAAACAAATTTATTTATCATTTATTTTGTCATTTTACCTTTTTTACCTTGTTCATAACAGGTTTACCCTTGTATGAAAAATCTATGGTATAACATTCGTAAGGCCATTTATTTTTGTGAAAAAGCAATAAAAGCGATGGCTATTAAATCAGCTGTGTATAGTATATGTACCATATATAGATGTGTATCACGCAAACTTAAACTTAAAAGTTGAATTTGATAAAATAATGTAAATAGAACAGCCAGTTATCAAATGAACTCACTAGTGACATCTAGGGTTCGGAAACCCAATCAACGAGACTTTAAGCGGAAATTTTGTAAATATTCACATTGAAATACACTGAATGTGCTTGAAAATAAAGTTGTTCCCTTTTTTGTAATTGCATAATCATCAAACGTGTGAAGTATAAGTATATTTTCTATTTACGGTGTGTAACTGTTTCTCTATACGTCAGTAATGAAATGTTTTTTTGGAATAAGCAATTTTGTTAAAGCCAAAAGAATAAATATAAACATTTCCGAGTGGTTACGAAAGCATAAAAAAGTCATTTGACATCGTGGATGGATACATGTATTGATACGTATATGAATATGCGACGATTAAGCGAGACCGAGCTGCGCACTGGTTTATCGATTCGAACGCGCAACTCACCCTCGCGAGCGACAGGCGCATTTCGTTCACTACCCTCGAGTCCCTCGACGAGTGCACACAGCAGTCATGGCAGTAGGTGTAACGACGAAAGTAGAGCCTTGCCCAAGCTTGTACTCATTTTCGTGTGCGCCACACGGATACGCTATGTTTACACGACATTAATCTCGTTGTGGCTTTCAACGTTTTTGGTCTTCTGAATTCTCAACGATAATCCAGTGGCACGCGTATTCTCACGCATGGATACGCAAAGCATCGCCGTGATCCTTGATGCGACGTTTTGAGAGCCGCGAAGTCGCTCGATTGAACCAATTGCAGTTTTTGGTTACTCGCGAAGGTCAACTAAAATCGTGCAACCACGGAGCCTCCAGCATTCTGCAAGGTGATTATGTCGAGGCTATGTTTCTATTTTTTACGTTCTACTTCATATGCTTACTATTTAGGCGTACATACAACTTGTATTTGTAAAGCGATCACCGCTGTACCTCGATCCACAATATTTGCCCTACTATAGTTTCAGTTACCCTACCAACTCGATAGCAATGTCTATTTCGTTTGAAATTGCCTTAAATATTTAAATCGGAATGGGGTATTTTTTGGCTTTCTAAGTACGTAAGAAATCTTAATGCATCAATAACTTGCTTGTTCTGGATTTAATTCATTGCGTGCGCTTCTCCAATTAGAATTGTCAGCCGCGTCATACTAAAACTTTTGTTTTTAAGCATCAGACTTATTGAAATACTAGATGGTCCGATTGAAATTCGTGAGTACCTATTTCACCGAGAAAGATAGATTTGTGTAGAATGACAACTATTTTTATATCCGTCCAGTTTATTTTAGTTGTGAATAAAAGATATGCAAAACCGTTTCCATCGATGTATCATCGAAATGAAATTGAGCCGCTGATATCTCCAAATATGCGGTTGGTACAGTGGCAGGATCGCTGCACTTGTCAAACGTGATTTTCCGTTTCTCTTCTCGATCGAACGCCATTGATTTCTCGTAAGAACCACGCGAGATACGGTTCGGCTACTTCCACGCGCTCAACTCGTCTCGTTGGAGAAGCTGCGCGGCAATTAGCGTCGGTCGATTAGCCATCACGGCGTCCGAAGAGCCGGGGTGCGCGAAGCGGGGCACGAGGGCGCAACAGCAGCGGCACTGACGAGTGCTCGACGTTGCAGGTGTACCCGGTGAGCCCGGTGACGGGGCCGGGCTCGGCCAAGTCGGTATGGGAGCTGAGCCCCGAGCCGGACCTGGTTGGGCACCTGCTGCCGAGCGGGCCGCCGGCGTCGACGGCGCAGTCGGGCCAAGCGGCCCCGAAGAGCTGCGCGCGCGAGCGCGCCGCCCGCCCGGGCGGCCCCGACGACGACGTGTACGCCGATGAGGCGGCGCTGGAGGCCGGCCAGGGGCCCAGCGACGAGGCCCGGCGCGTCTTCGAGCTGCTGCGGGCCGGGTAAGCGGAGGGCCCCCGGGGGGTGGGGGGGGAGTCCAGCGGCGGCGCGACTGACCCAACCGACTCCGGCCGCAGGGACACGGCGGGCGCCGACCGCCTGGTGGAGGCGCACGGCGCGGCCAGCCTGAGCGCGCGCGACCAGTGGGGCTACACGCCGGCGCACTGGGCCGCGCTGGACGGCAACGCCGAGGTGATGCGCTACCTGGTGGAGCGCGGCGGGCCCGTGGACCTGCCCTGCCTGGGCACGCAGGGTCCGCGGCCCATCCACTGGGCCTGCCGGAAGGGCCACAGCGCGCTGGCGCAGCTGCTGCTGCGCAGCGGCGTGGCCGTGAACGCGGCCGACTTCAAGGGCCTGACGCCGCTGATGACGGCCTGCATGTTCGGCCGGCTGGCCACGGCGGCCTTCTTGCTGGGCTGCGGCGCGCGCGTCGGCCTGACGGACATCAACGGCGACGCGGCGCTGCACTGGGCCGCCTACAAGGGCCACACCGAGCTGATCCGGCTGCTGATGGCCAGCGGCGCCGACCCGCAGAAGCCCGACCACTTCGGCTCGACGCCGCTGCACCTGGCCTGCCTGTCGGGCCACCTCGGCTGCGCGCGGCTGCTCTGCCAGAAGAGCAAGGTGGCGCTGGAGCCGCGCGACAAGAACGGCAAGAGCCCGCTGCAGCTGGCGCAGGGCCGGCGCCACGCGGAGGTGGTGCGCCTGCTGCAGGCGGAGGCGCGGCGGCGCGCGCGCTGGCTGCCGCCGGCGGCCGAGCTCTGGGCGCTGCTCTTCGGCGGCGCGGGCGCCAGCAAGGGCCCGCTGCTGCTGTTCCTGGCCTCGGTGCTGCTCTGGGGCTACCCCATGTACCTGCTCAAGTGCCTGCCCATCACCTGGAACCTGCTGCGCGGCAGCCACTACTGCTTCGTCTACTGGAACCTGCTGATGTGGCTGTGCTGGCTGGTGGCCAACCGCAAGGACCCGGGCTACGTGCCGCGCAACAGCGATGCCTACTACCGGGCCGTGCGCCAGATCCCCTACTTGGACAAGTGGCGCCGGCGCAGCCTGCTGCTCTCGCGGCTCTGTCACAGCTGCAAGTGTTTCCGGCCGCTGCGCGCCAAGCACTGCCGGGTCTGCAACCGCTGCGTGGCCTACTTCGACCACCACTGCCCCTTCGTCTACAACTGCGTGGGCCTGCGCAACAGGTGAGCCGCGAGGGCGCGCGGCCCCGCTCGGCCTCGCTCAGCTCTTTCTCGCCTGTCCGCAGGATGTGGTTCTTCCTCTTCGTCATGTGCGTCGCCATCAACTGCTCGTTCACGCTCTACTTTGCCTGCTACTGCATAGCCATCGAGGGCGTGCAGCTGCTCTACGTGCTCGGGCTGCTCGAGGCGCTGGTCTTCTGCGCCCTGGGCTGGATACTGACCTGCACCTCGGTGCGCGCCGCCCCTCTCGCCCGCCTCCTCGGTGCGCCGCTCTTCTCTTCTCTAACGCCTTTCGCCCCCTTGCAGGTCCTGCACGCTTGCATGAACCTCACCACCAACGAGATGTTCAATTACAAGAGGTACTCCTACCTGCGCGACAAAAGGGGAAAGTACTGGAACCCCTTTAGCCGAGGGCCTGTCTTGAACCTCATCGAATTCTTTCTCTGCCCTTCTGACCCCTACGCCAATGAGCCTCAGCATTATCACATTTTCCAAGACGAAGCCATGTAACTCCACTGCTTCTTGGTTCACCGTCACCACTGTCATCCCACCGACAACTCACTTTGCTCAACATTTCAACCTCAGCGCTTTGAATCGTCGAGAAACCTTTCCTCGTTTCTCAAAGCCAATGGAATTCGTCTCGTCGTAATGTCTTGCACGCTGTTGCAATTTTTTTTTACGACTCTAGCAAGAAGACCGAGTATTTTTCCATAACCGAAGCCTTCGTCACTTTCAGCAATACTTCTCTACCGAATACTTACTGAGAGATTGCAAACACTTCGGTCAGCGAATGTTACCTATTTGCTCGAGATAAAACAAATTGCTACATCTATTTATTAAAATAAACAAAGATAAAAGCTCTGGCGTTTGTCTTCGTTGTTCATATACATATGGACCGTTGGCGCACGAAAAACGCCATATTGGTCTGACTACTAAAGTGTCCAGTGATTGTCAATGTTTCAATACTCACACTCATTATGAATGCTCAATTTTGTAACTTTGTAAAGCTCTATACACCGAAAGCTTCGCTTATCAATACACGAATTAAACTAAGTTAAAATTTGTACAAAGCAAACTTTTATTACGCTAAAAATGTTTATTTATTTCACGATTTTTTTCAGTTACAAAATACTGATAATATTAAATGCTTTATATCGATATACATGTCTAATATCTTCCCCATTACATCAAAACCTATGATTTACGTTAAATATCTGCATAATAAACTTTGGCAGAATAAAAATCTACCATAAAAAATCTTCAGAAATACGATAAAATAATATTATATTATTAAATTATACAATTAACGCTATGAAATTGATTAAATTTTTATCAAAACATTCAAGTTTGAAAATTTTTCGATTACGTTCTTTGGTCAAGTCTTGACTACGTTTAAGACAAAACGATTCGCGAATTATCAGTCATTATGAACGTTATACTATAAATTATAGAAATTATTCTGATAGTCACACTGACTTGTATATAGTTTTGGAATGAGAACGTGAATTGACTTGAAACGATTGTGAATTCTAAACATCGTAACAAAAATCATAGTTTAGAGGAGGATCAGGAATTGGTGGTGGGTCTTGGGGAATGTCGATTCCTTCGGTATCCAGCAGTCTCAGCTTAATATCCATTGATAAGAGAGTATCCAAGTCTTTTTCAGTTTCTTTACTCGCCATTCGATTGCCTTTTAGTAGATAAATATAGTTATTTCATGCAATTTAAACAAAATCTATATAAATTCAAAGCTTCTTTTTTACCGAGCAAAGCATTGATTCCATCAGTCCAGTAGTCAAAGACTTGTTCGTCAGGAGCTACAAAATCCAAGCTTGCGACATCCACAGAGTCCAAAATTAGAGAAAAAGCCAACTGATGAGTAGTTTTGCGCCGCTGCAAATCTTTCATGTGAGGACAATCTCTGCCAATAACCAAGCTTCGAATTTCTACAACCGCTAGTTTCGTTGGTAGTTCGTCTATACTTGGTACCGATTTTTCATCACAATCCCCATAATGGAAGACCTTATGATTTGGCGATAAACGGACATACCAAAATTTATCCTTTATTCTCTGAACAATAAAACATAATATTTAAAGAAAAATTGTTAGATTTGTTAAAGAAGTACGTATTAAAAAAACAACTAACTCCTCTTGCGCTATATTTGGTAAATCTTGTTCCTTCTACCAAAAATCCTAGTCTCTGTTGTTGAATAAGAGCCATTATATCGGGAGTTATTTGTTCTTTCAATTCCACAATAGGTCGAGCATGGCTTTCCCATTCTTCTCGGTTGGTTCTTTCTTGCTGCCATAAATTTGTAATATGAGAGTAGGTCAATTGTTGCAACTTATTTTTAAATTTGTCTAAGCCTGTTGGCCGTGAATCAAGTGCTCTTGTTATTTGTTCGCGTACTACAGAAAAAACTTTAACAAAATCTTCTATTGTAGCTCTCATTTCTTTCCACGTTTTGTTCAATAAAACAATACAAGCACAATAAAATTCTTCAAAAGGATGATCATGGGTAAAAAACATTGGATGATATGATTGGCCTTGTTCACTAGGTGCCTCGCCAATCCTTAAAACCTGTAACAAAGATCTTACAATTGAGCATTACAGAGCAAATAAATGAAACTTGATTTTAATTTAAGAAACTTATTATTTACGTACGTCGCATAGTAGCTTGACTAACTCAACACTAGTCCTCCCAAAAGGACATTCATGCTCATCAGCTCTGCAAGAGTTTTCTAAGACAACTTTTGTATAATTCTCTGTATGATTTCGAGCAAAGTACACCATGCAGTCAAGAGCTAACATGCCTGGAGGCGTTTCTGTAAAATCTAGAGCAGGATTTATATCACACTTAAAGCCTAATTTTTTATAATCTTTAGCAAATAATCCTTGTTTTCTGGCTGTAACATCACTATTACTGGCTCCCTCTGAATCAAAAGCGATTCTTCGAAGTTCTTTGATTTTATCATGAGCATCCTGGTCTTGATTATCCATTTTAGTCATCATTCTTTGCTCGAGTAAGCTCAACATTAGTGTTTGAAGGACATATAGCTGGTGAGCCATTTCTGTCCCCACCTTCATTAATTTAATAAATGTTTTATGAGAAATAGTAAAATTAATTATTAATAGTAATCATTACTAATTGAACACTTACTTGTCCAGTAGATTGAATAATATTAGTAAGAAAAACATTTCTGTTGTGCTTTGACTGTAAAGTAGATGCAATATGCCGACGTTTCGTCATATCTGCTTTCAAAAAAAGGGCATTTATTAAAGCTATAGCATTCTGCTGGATTTGTGGATTCATATGTTGCAAATGCTTCATGAGATTTGGGAATGTTACTTCTTTTTCAACTTGACTACATTTTCCACTAGCATTCAGTACAATGCTTTCTAGAATATTTAAAGATGCCTTCACCACATTAGAATCAATAGCTGTAGCTTGATTATTAACATAACTAGCAACTCTATTAGTAAATGGTGCTTCAACAATGTCCCATGAAACAATTCCATGATCCATCAATTCCACAAAGGACTGTAGACAATAAGCCAAAGCACCAGATTTATATTTTTCTGCTTCAACCTGCAATATTGGTAATGTATTTACTAATAATATTTGAAAAATTTAAAGATGATAAAATAACAATAAATTTTACAATATCACGTAATTTTACCTGGGAAATTATGATAGATAATCCTTGTTTATCTATAAATTCATTAGCAAAAGTGACATCTCGGCTCAGTCTACTAAGTTTTTCAAGAGTTCCAATTATTTTATCTTCTGAAATGCCATTGTTTAATAGAGCCAGGATATCTACAGCAGTTTTTGAAGGTGAATGTTCTAAACGTAGGATACTTCCATTTTTAACTTCATTTCTGTTTTTATCTGTAATATAGTTTTGATTGTTGTTATCAGAAAATTGTAGTGAATATGATTCTGGATCTGGCAAACCCCAACCATTGCATAGTTCCTGAGGAATAATTATATATTATTGTTTTTATTATCTTCTTAAATTAATAATTCATTACTATTCTTTCTTTCAAATTTTAACCATTTAAATTTTATAATTTTTTTTTATAAAAAATGAATAAAAAATAAACGATTAAATAAAATAAGAATTTAAAGTAAAGAGTATGTAAAATAATAATGAGTATATTTAGTAGTTTGGAAAAAAGATAAATAAACTAACCTGAATAATTACTGTCAGGGGCTGTTTTTGGTTGAATTCTTTCAGTTGTGGTACTTGATCTTTTAATTCAACTGCTATTTTAACAATATTGGCATCCTTCTGCGCTGGCATTTTTATTGTTTGCGTATACATTAATCACGTAATTGTGTAAATATTTAAAAAATTTTCTTACGTCAAAAGCGTAAAGTATTATATTGCAGCTATAATTTTTCCACTATTGATTAACATGAGTATTTAATGTAAGCACTATTTCCAATATTTAATAATTATAAGGACACTTTTCTGGTGAAAAAATCAAAATTTATTTTATCCTTAAATCGTTTTCGACCACTGCATTTTCCAAGCTTCACGATTGATATTGGGTGGATACAACCTACATTACAGATGATTCACGCTGTCAGAGCTCGTCAGTCAGTCTGTCATACATTAGGTATGGTTGGATTGTCAGAACTTGTTTACAAAATAGAGAAGTGGGTATATACTGTGTTACTGTGTAACATATCATGAAACCAATTAAAGAGGCAAATGTAATTTGTTCATAAAAATCAACTATTTATTTATATTTAAAATATTTCTGGAAATTCAATTTTATACAATACATATATTTTACTGGTATTTTATATTAAAAATGTGTAAAAATTGTCATAAAATACTATTTTAACACATTTTTTAAAGAGAAAATCACATGTCATAATCTTGATGTATATTTACAAAATATAAAATATAAAAAATTTCACTAGAACATCTGGTGAATCAGTCTCACTATCAAGTATACTAGGTATAACTATTCAAGTGTGTTATTTTCTTTCAGATTATGGGGATTCATCGTCATTATTTCTAATTTTATTAGCTGGTTTGGGTGTTATTTTAACTGCAGAAAATTGTTGTCCTAAAGTTTTCATAACTTCAGCATGTTTCATAGAACTTCGACTTTGCTTTACCAATTGATAATTTTCTTTAACATAAAGAGCAAATCCTGATGGTTCTTTTGTCTGAGCAGTACTCTTTTTCTGTACTCTACCAGTTTTTGTCACTTTATTAATTAAAAGTTCAAATGTTCCATAACAATATCCACAACGTTTACTATTTAAATCTAATGATTTGGAATGTCTTCCAATAGTATAGCCACAACCAGTGCATTTATAGGTATACTTTGTTTGAATTTCATAATTATGACATCTAGAAATAGTAGGTAATTCTGGAAAAACTTTCATAGCTTTATTTGCCCAAGCTTTCCAAAAATTTCCATGACCATCGGATACATTATTTATTAACCATGTAGCTGCATGACACATTTCATGGATCAACGTGTCTCTTAATCTATCTGGAGAATCTAAAACTTTAGATGCCAAAACAATTCTTGAAGATCTAACTGTGTTACCAAGTGCTTTAAGCGATTGTTTGTTATAACATTTACCAGCAGTTCCACGTAATCTAATACTCCATTCTATCGACATGTCTTCAGGTAATTTATAGTCAAAAACTTTTTCGTTAAATAATTTGAACAATACTTTACATAATTCTTCTTTCAAAGAAGGATACTTAACTCTATAAACCATAGCTTTGAAATCTGCATTTTCTAGAGGTACATCTTTAGATAGTGAAGCTATAAAACTTTTTCTAACAGATGGCTTTTTAGTAGGATAAGATGTCTTTTTAACAGTTGAAAAAGTTATTAGTTTTTTCACTTTTGTAGATTTTGGGGGGATTATATCTTCTGGATCAAACTCACTTGTACTAGAAGTGTTTGATGAATTAAAACTTAGTTTTCTTTGACAATGATCTTTTTGTTTCTGATTGGCATCATCTAAATCAGATTCTGAATCACAAAGTTCTTTCCATTTTTTTTGGTGATCATTCTCTTTTATTTTAACTGGAACATTCTGTTGAGATGATATAGGATTTGTTAAAGCTGTGTAATAAGAGCAATCTGGACTACTTTCTGAAGATTCATTATCATTAATAAAATTATCTTTTTGCCTGTGACTATTCTTGACTTTTTCAGTTTGCACATTTCCTTTGTTAATAACATGATCATTTTCTTTATCTGAAAGTTCTTTATTACAAAAATCTTTCAGTGCAGGTCTATTACAACTTTTTTTTTCAGTTTGTACTTTTTTAATAACAGTTTTCGTGGTATTTTTTCTTGGTTCAGTCATAGATACAAGTGTATTTACTTTGTTTCTCCAAGTTGTACCATATAAATTTTCTAAAATATCTGCACAATCATTAATGGTGTTATTATGATCATTGTTCGGTGACTCTTTACTTTTTGAATTGGAATCAGACGTACTTTGAAAAATATCTTCATCACTGGTTTTGATTAGATTGACATTAGATATTAGAGAATTATTTTCAGATAAAATTTTTATGTCTATATTGCCACATTTTTTAATGTTTGGATCTTCGGTTACATTTAATTCATTGTCAGATCCAAAAGATTCAGATTCAGGTATAATAATATTTCTTGGATTTAGTTTTACACTATTCTCTGATATTGTATCAGAATGATCATTTTTGGAAGACTCAGAAGACTTTTCACTTTTTGTTTTCTTGATTCTTTTATCTGAACTTTTATCAACCATTGAAGTTACATTAGATTCAGGTATTTTTTTCTTAAGTACATTATTTACTGGGGTCGAATCAAGTTTTTTGTCTGTTGGTGTTTTGTTTCTAGTAGACGTTGTTTCAGATAAAATCAAATCTTTTGAACTAAATTTAATCTTTCTTACAGGAGTTATATGAGAGTCTTTACTCTTCGGAGTAATCTCATTTACTATTTTCAACTGTCCCTTTTTGCCATTTGGAAAATATTCATCAATCTTCGTTTGATTTTTAGTTTCATTCAAATTTTTTTTCTGTCTATCTATTGTTAGTTTAGACAATTTTCCACGGTTATTAGGTGTCTCATAATTTTGCTCTAGACGCTCTAAGCTACTGTTCCCTGAACTTATACCACTTTTTCTGCTATCTGCTATTGCACTTTCAGTACTGCAAGAACTATTACATCTGGAACTATCAAAATTAGTTGAAAGCCATTGCAATATTTCTTTTTTCTTTCTGTCAGACAATGTTATGCTTTCAGCAATAGTTTCTTTTATGATTTCTGGTACTTTACTTTGTTCTAATTCAGAATCACTTTCTTCAATGATTACATTTGTCTTGTTAAATTGCTCTGTTGACTTTTTAGAAGTAGAAATTTTTCTAATGCTTTTCTGTAAAGTTTCTTGTACTTGAAAGTTGGGCAATTCATCATCAGAGGACTCAATTATACACAGTTTGTTTGGTTTTTCTTTTACAGCAGTATTTACATAATTTTTTCTTGTGTCTGACTTTTCATTAATGAGACTATTTTCTTCGACACTGGAATCACTTATCAAAATGATTTCCTCAGTTTTTTTCTGTTGATTATTTTCAAAACTCTCTTGAGTCTCATCAACATATGATTCAGACAATCGTAAACTGAAAGTTTCATTTTCAGTTTGTTCATTCAAAGCTGTTGAAGAAAATATTTTTATATTTCCAGATGCGACATCTAATTTTTCTGCAAAAAGCCGGCGGTTGTTTATTTTTTGTGCCTTCCATTGTTGGTAAAACGAATCGTCAAAATCCATTTATCAGAATAAGAGTTGTTTCAATTTGGGCCTACTAAAATTTAAAATAAATATAAATAATTGAAATGATAACTATATGTTTATTGTGTATAGTTATACCTAATATTTTCTAATTAATCGTTTGTCTTATCGTCTTACTCAAAATTTTTACATCACGACACAGTTGATTAATCGCCAAGACCGACCTTTAAATAAATTTTTGTTGATGAGCTAAACGAAATTTAAGTATTCTTAAATTGAAACAAAAGCTATAAATGCACATGTATTGAATTTCACAGAATCGCCATTTTTAAATTAGTGTTTCAGACATGCAGGTTTGAGGTTTGAAATTATAACGGTCAATTCAAACGCAGACGCATAACAACATCTCACAAGCGCGTTAGTTTGAATTCATATAATATGAGCGGATGTACAAATATATCTTTATGCTTAATAATAAAGTTTATACAATAAATGCTAATAATTTAATAAAGAAAAGTTTGAAAATAATTGTATTAAGAAATTATTTTACAGCAATTGAGTATATTTAAAATACTTGCAATAATCATCAACAATCAGTAAAAATAATAAAAAAAATTACCAATATAGAGTTTAAAAAAATATTTTATTACATTCGATTCATGTTGACAACAGTCATTTATTTAAATATATTGATTGGTTCCAAGTGAAATAAATTTTATAAGAAAAAAATTTTCTTATAATTATTAAGGCATGGCTACAAATAATAAATGTATACATAAAATAACTTGTAACTATTATTTCATCTACATGTATTAATTGCGTCTTAGATCTTATGATAAATCTTTATGATTCTCATAGGTGTTTATTCAATTTTATACTCTTCAGTCACATAAAGAACATATAAAAATCAATTAGCTACTAAAAAAATAATTGTTGTTCTCATAAATAATGAAAAATTCACGATTTCATTATTGTAATATTTGTCTTACTATACTCATGCGTTGTAACAACTTCCACACTAATATATATAAATTCATGATGACAAATCTGATTTTGTAATATCAGTAAATGTATATTTACTATATACATTTTGCTATAATGTAAAAACAATAAAAATTCACTATCTACAAACATAAGAGGTTGTCGAAATTTGGTAGGTATTTACAAATTAAATATATATAAAACTAAGATACCAATTTAAAAAGTATAGTTAGAATAGTTGAATTCCATTATTGTCATGTCGTAAAAATTTCATTCCAAAAGAAAAATTTCAAAGTTTCCAATCCCATGGAACACATAAAACTCCATCACTCATGACAGAATAATAATGAGTAACCCAAAGCATCACATCATTCAAAATGGGTGCTAAAACATTCTTATGCATCAACAAACGTTCACAGCACTGTATCATTAAATCTGGAGTTATACTATCATCTTTGTTTAATGCATTTAAACCTAATTCTTTAATAACCTTCCCATGTAATTCTCGTTCTATATGTTTTATACTGAAAAAATATTAATAAAGTTGTAATGCTGAGATAAAAAATAATATTATAACTTACTTATTGTAGTGGTTCAATCTCTTTGTAGCTTCTTCAAGATTTTCTGTAATAAAGCTGACTAGTAAAAAACTAGGGCATGATGATGGCACAATAAATTGACCAGTTGGAGACAACATTAGTGGTCCGGCTTCTCTAAAATTATATTGAAATGTACCAGAGATCATAGTGTTCGTGTATTTAAATAAATAATACTCACGCTTCAATCACAATTTCATAAGTAGATAAATTTTCTGGCCAGGAACTTGGATAATTTCTTCTACTACGGTAATCTGATAGAGTTGTTGTTAATTGTCGTAATTGTGATTCATATTGTCCCACCATAACTTTTGGCATAAATTTCCTGCACATGCAAAATATCCTAAACCTAATTGCAACTTAACATTTTATTTAAATAACGCACCTTCGTCCAACTTTTATATCAAGTAATACTCTTGATACTGCTTTTTCAAAAGCTGGCAATCGTAAAAGTACTGCATCATATTTTCTGACATTTTTTATTAACTAAAACAATAAAATGTTTTAAATTAAAATTTTTATATGTTTTGATAAAATTCATGTTTAGTTCAAAATATAAAAATGGTATAATCACAACTGTACAAAAAGGTTAAGAGTTCAACCTTTATATGATACATAGACAACTCATGTTTATAAAATCGTTTTTTACATACTTAATTGATAAACACGGTATTAATAATAATTTGATTGACAGCAATTAATATTTTAATAATATAAATATTCATACATCAAGCCAGTTGTGACGAACTTCTCCAGAATTAAGCATTACATTTCCTTCAACACTAATTCCAGTGTCATTAGCAAAAACAAGTGTTCGATCATTCAAAACTTTCATAGGTTCAGGATGATGTTGGGATAGAGCTTTGAAAGCTAACAAACAGCCTCTATAATGTGTAATATTCCAACCACAATCCCAAATTATATATTTCAAACCTAAATCTTTGCATAACATAGATTCCAACTTTTGAACTTCTGATCGAATAGGTCTACAGGCTTCAAATTTAATATGAGCATCATTGACATTTTTATCTAAATAAGCTCTAAAATAAATAACAAAATATATTAAGAATAATACTGCAGTAATCTCAACCAATAGCATTATAAAAATCATACAGTTTTAATGTAATGTTCTAATACTAACTTGAGTGTATCTGGAACAGTATTTATTTTTCTTCTCATGAAAATAGATGCATAAATAGGATTATCTTCTAATTCAGAAAAATCTATTTTTTCTCCTGAATAATAGCGACTCCAAAATTTTAATGTAGGTCTGGTATTATTTTCACTTACAGGTTTCTCTTTTTCAATTTTATCAACAAAAGTTGTGGGAAGATTACATGTTTTTAATATAGACAGAATTGTTTTGCGAATATCTTGTTCTTTCAACTGTATGTTTACCAAAGTAAATTTTCCAGCTTTTAATTCTTTTTCATCTTTTGAGCGAAGATAAAAAGCCAAAGTTGTTGGTCTTATGGGTCTTCGTTGCTGTAAATTTTCTAATGCTGAACTTAATATTTTTAAGGAATTTTCATTCACTGTCTGAAAATTAAAAAAAAATTTTATATAAATACAATGGTTACCTACAATATGAGTGCAATTGTATGGTATAATTGCAATAAAGTTGTAAGCAATAAAATAAAGTAAAATTCTAATTGATTTAAATTTGAATAAAACATATTAATAAAATTTCATTATCAAGTGCAACAAAAATAGCAACCATTATCTAAAGTAATATATAATAAAATTTATGAAGAATTAGTTTCTATACAATTATTGATGAAACATACCCGCTGAGTTGGAAATTGACAGAAAAGATCTGGATGTACAGTAAAATAAAAAGGCCTAAGTGCTGTAGAAATTTCACTTGTGCTTAAAGCTCGCACGGCTTGTTTACAATACAAACTGTAATAAAAAATTAATTTTCTTGTAGTATAGTGAAAACAGATAAAAAAATAAAAACAATTTAAATAAATTTATTAAAACATAATTTCTTATTAAAATATTCATCAAAATGTTTACCACTTCTTCAGATTGCAATACATTGTAACTACGTATATATTGGTATCACATCACAGAAACTCCCATCTCCATTTCTTGTGTGTTGTTTTGATTGTTTATGCAAAATGCGAATGGTGTTTGGAAGTTTATACGAGATAAACACGACGTCATACTGTCAGTGTTAAAAGCAGATGTTTTTTTATGCTTTGTGCGTATTGGGCTTACATAATCATGAAAGAGTGAAAGAGACAGAGATATAGTTGAGACGACACTAGAGAGTGAGAGAAAGAGAGAGAGAGAGAGAGAGAGAGAAGACAGAAATAGAAAGGGATCGAATGCGTTCACCTCGCGCGGACATTAATTTGCGACCCGCGAAGTTCAAAATCTGAATTATTTTCGACAATCGAACATTAAGGATACCAAACGATACCACTAGGTCAAGAGCTAATTTTAACAAATTGTGCCTTCATAACTTAATTCGCGGGTCGTGAATTAATTTGTTTGATGCCATTTATGCTGGTGAGCCATCAAACAATCTAACAAAATATTAATATATAAATAATTTTGAAATGTGAAATGTTAATTCGTTTTTTTTTTAATTAATTAATGTTTATCTAGTGTTTAGCGTGATCCACGCGTTTTTTCTTTTATGTTTTTCTCATATTTATTATATTATTTGAACCTTTTATATGCCAACTTGGGGATTCTAATTACATACATCAATATTCATTCATGAATAAAAATAGAACTTTTACCCATTTTTCCTCAAAAACCGATGAACTTTCACATGTTTCGAGATAAATTATCCAAAAGATTAATTCAACTTACCATCGATAAAGCTATTATACAATTATACAACACTAAACTTTACATACTCAATAGTAGTGATTATGGCTCCAATCGTATATTAAGTACGAGTAATACATTTAACGTCGTATACTTTTTATTGCCTCTATATGAAAACACCCATGAATATTTTTCAAATTTAATGTGGTTAATATTCTGATAACACAGGCCCACAAAAAAAAATGAACTTGGATGTCCATCGACAAAACCCATGTACTCCTACGTATTTTTGCGCGCTGAGTCCGAATCTGGCATTCGTTTAACCTCAGCACGTCGGGTTCAAGGGCATTTGAAGGTCACATTGCAGAAATCAGCAATAACTAATACAAGACATCTGTCTGTTAAGTTTTTGGGGTCGCTGAGTTTAAATCCGGTATTTGTTTTTCTCCATGAGGTAAGTTTGAAGGTTAGTTCAAGGTCAAAGCTGTTTACTCTAGGAAAAATGAATTTTTGACTGCAGATTCTGAAAGAGCGGGAAATTTTACGTCCAGATACATATTCAATTTTTTTTAATATAACCCTCAAGGTCATGTGAAGGTCACTTAATCTTGTTGGATGGAGGATTCGTATGACAATAAGATAATGGAATTTCATGGGGCAAACTACCATGTCGTTATGTTTTCAGGGTCGCCGAATCCAAATCCGCGGTGTTCGTTTGTCTCCATCAGGCCGCATTGAAGGTCGTTTAAAGGTCAAATCCTCGACAATTAGTGAAATCGAGTCAAGTTATCATTCTAACATATTTTTTGAGCATCTGAACCCAAATATAAAGACCGCTTAATACCTCAGGGTCAAAATCAAGGTCATCCCAAGGTCAAATATACATTTTTTTTATTAAAAAAAGGAAATTTTGACCACAGATTCAGAGAAAATGGAAAATCTTACATCTAGCTGTGATCGTTACTTATTTTTTTGATCACACTCCCGAAATAATCGTGTGCCGCAACCCAGGGTACCTCCACGTGGTGACGGCGGAAAACGGCTTTTTTTTTGGCTTTTTGTTTTCCGGCAAAACCCTGGGGTGAAGGCATGATGCCCTCATGGTTGGCACACGAAGAGGTACGATGCAGGGTTTCGGATGCCCAGTATCGGCGATTGGTCAGGATGAGCAAGCAGGTCCGCAATCGTCGTCATCATGCGACTGCAGCTCTACAGTGGTTGGAAACTTGGTCTCTGTAGAGTACAACAATACAAGAATACGCTCTAATTCTCATAGTTGTAAGCAAAAAGTGAATTCCTTTTGCTATGTGTGTGGCAAATACTTTTTGAAAAAGTCGGATCTTCGCAAATTCACAGATGATTTGAAACTAGTATACGATGAGTGTTTCGGTTGTAAAGTCACTGATGGTGAGCAAGATTGGCTGCCACAATTGATATGCAATAGCTGTAGGCTGATGTTTAGCCGGTACAAAAAGGACAAAACTCCATTAAAATTTGTCAAACCTATGGTTTGGAGTGAGCCAGAAAATGTAGAGAATTGTTATTTTTGTATGACAAAAACTATAGGTTTTAACTCATCTAATGTCCACAAAATTGTATACGCGAGTGTGTCTAGTGTAATCAAGCCGTTTATAGCTCCAACAGAAGAAAGAGATACAGATGTAGAAAGTGACCTTTCTTCTGCACTTACTGAATTAGAGATTTCTAGTTCTGATGAGGCCGAGAGTGAAAGAGAAGAAACGGACGAGAGTAATGACGAGTATGTGCCATCTGGATCACAAACAAAGATAAAAGGAGAATTTGATCAGAAAGAACTTAATGACCTAGTTAGAGAGTTAGGCTTATCAAAGGAGGGAGCAGAGTTGCTTGCTTCGAGGTTGAAGGAAAAAAATTTACTGGCGAAAGGTACTAAATGTTCTTACTATCGGAATAGAGAAAAAGACTTCAGAAAATATTTCTCTACGGAGAATGATCTCGTATTTTGCAACAATGTTAAGGATCTGATGAACGAATTTAAGAAGGATGTTTATAAATCTGAGGAATGGAGATTATTTCTGGATTCTTCTAAGCGAAGCCTGAAGGCTGTATTATTACATAACACTAATAAATATTCTGCAATACCTCTGGCCCATTCGGTTACCCTGAAAGAAGATTACAAAAATGTTGAGTTGGTATTAAATAAAATACAGTACAAGAAACACAACTGGCTAATCTGTGGTGATCTCAAGATTCTTACCATCATGCTAGGTCAGCAATCAGGCTTCACAAAGTTTCCATGTTTCTTATGTATGTGGGATAGCAGGGATCGTAAGAATCATTATGTAAAAGCAGAATGGCCTGATAGATCAACGTTCGAACCCCGTAAGGATAACATCATTAACAAGCCATTAGTAGAGCCATCCAAGGTCCTTCTTCCTCCTCTCCATATTAAACTTGGTTTAATAAAACAATTCGTTAAAGCGTTGAATAAAGAAGGGCTATGTTTCTCGTACCTGGGAACAAAATTTCCAAGAGTATCTGACGCTAAATTGAAAGAAGGTATATTTGACGGTCCCCAAATCCGCACATTGTTAAAGGATGAAGCATTCATAGACAAGATGGACGATAAAGAGAAAGCAGCATGGATTAGCTTCAAGGATGTAGTGGAAAATTTCTTAGGGAATCACAAGAGCGAGAACTACAAAAAACTAGTTGAAGACTTACTTAAAAATTACAATAGTTTGGGTTGCTTGATGAATTACAAGCTACACTTTCTTCATTCACACTTAGACTACTTTCCACAAAATCTTGGAGATTATAGCGAAGAACAAGGGGAACGGTTTCACCAAGATATTAAAGTAATGGAACAGCGATACCAGGGCCGGTGGGACATAAATATGATAGCGGACTTTTGTTGGACATTGAAAAGAGAACATATTATCGACGGAAAGAAACGAAAGCGGAATCCCCTACATAGATCATTCGAAGATAAAAGAACAAGAAAAAAAAGAAAATCATGAGTTTTGTAATACATGATACCCATGTCTCCATATGTGGCTGTTTGTCATGCGACGATTAGTCAGCTTCAGTATTTTTCTCAAATACTAATTTATGGCACATAATTCACTAATATGTGAAATTTTCTATTTTTCATGCAACTGTGGTCAAAATTTCCTTTTTTTAATAAAAAAAATGTATATTTGACCTTGGGATGACCTTGATTTTGACCCTGAGGTATTAAGCGGTCTTTATATTTGGGTTCAGATGCTCAAAAAATATGTTAGAATGATAACTTGACTCGATTTCACTAATTGTCGAGGATTTGACCTTTAAACGACCTTCAATGCGGCCTGATGGAGACAAACGAACACCGCGGATTTGGATTCGGCGACCCTGAAAACATAACGACATGGTAGTTTGCCCCATGAAATTCCATTATCTTATTGTCATACGAATCCTCCATCCAACAAGATTAAGTGACCTTCACATGACCTTGAGGGTTATATTAAAAAAAATTGAATATGTATCTGGACGTAAAATTTCCCGCTCTTTCAGAATCTGCAGTCAAAAATTCATTTTTCCTAGAGTAAACAGCTTTGACCTTGAACTAACCTTCAAACTTACCTCATGGAGAAAAACAAATACCGGATTTAAACTCAGCGACCCCAAAAACTTAACAGACAGATGTCTTGTATTAGTTATTGCTGATTTCTGCAATGTGACCTTCAAATGCCCTTGAACCCGACGTGCTGAGGTTAAACGAATGCCAGATTCGGACTCAGCGCGCAAAAATACGTAGGAGTACATGGGTTTTGTCGATGGACATCCAAGTTCATTTTTTTTTGTGGGCCTGTGTAATTAGTTTCCGTCACTTGCATACTTCTTAATTTACAATGTACAAAAGATGTATTCTCATCTATTCAATTCTATTCATTTTCTTTCTCTTTCTATCAAAATTTTATAAGATAATATCAATTTTATTATCAGAGCTGAGTGTAAAATTAATGATTTGTAATAATAATTTCCAAACATAACGTTTTATGTTCTCAAAACGATTTATTAACGGCATATTTCCATTCTTACAGATTATTATCCATGTTAATTATTCACAAATTGAATTTACTTCTGAAATATAAATCTCACACATATATATATATAATAAAAATATTTCAAAGTGTACGAAAATTCAAAATTTCGTGTTCTTTTTTAATATAAATTAATCACAACGCTGGATATCGACAACTTATTATTTTTTTAAGATAGGATATATTTTTGGCTATACAGTTATTATTGATCCTTTACGATTCAGTAAGTAAATTATAGATTTGTGCATAAGCACTTTTTCGTTCATAAAACAATTAGAGAAATCTGCAGAAATAAAGATAATTTCTCAATACAATATTATTTGAAAAGTAAATAGGTAAATAGGTGATGTTTGTATTCCATTAGTATCGGTGATAATTTACTGATTTACTAAATTAAAAATCTATTGAAAAAGTTGAATTTTTTTCGAGATTGTTATTCAAGATTCAGATGGACCAATTTAACCGAATAAACTGGAGCAATAATCTGATATTTTGGTCCGTAAAGCAAATACATTTTTTACTATATGAATGTTAATAATATATTGCTTATTATATGGTTTGTTTATATAGTTGTTATATTCGACAAAATTGTGGTTATAAGATTCAGTAATTTTCTCGTTATTGAACTGAGCTATTATTTTATTCTCGAGATATTTCTATTATTGGTGGCTTATTGATTTGATCTTTAAACTTATTTTGTTATATTTGAATGGTCTGTGACTATGCTGTTTATTAAACTTGCCTTTACGACTTTCTAATATAGTTTATAGATTTGATTGTAGGTTCACTATGCCAACTATATATACATTTATATATACATGAGCAATTATAGTATTCTTCCCTTCTTGATAGGCTCTATTTTCTTTTCGCCTTTGAATTTCGTTAGACCAGTGATTTACGTGTAACTAGTGATTTACGTTGCTTAGGTGTTAATACCGCATAAAAGAACTTAAGCTCTTTAATAATTCGTCATGTGCCCTTCTACTTTAAAAAGCCAGTAACAAATCAAACAAAATCGATCTTCAATCCTTTCGCCTACATATGAAAAAATTTATCAGTTTCCTAATTGCAAGTTTCTGAAAATCTCTTCTGCTGAAGAAAACGTTCTGTTCGAACTTACATAATTGCTTTGCATGATTCAAACGTCTGTTTTATGTCATACGGAATACAAGTTTATAAGAATGCTTCAATTGCAGTATTTTTACATAATAATAGGAACAAAGATAGACGACGAGCATTTATCTTTGTTGATAAATATGGTACTCTTGAGAGGACTGTTTAAATGCCACAAATGCAATAAGTTATTTGAGATGTAGTTTGTAATGTTAGATTAAAAAAAGTTAATAAAATGTACCTAACCGTGGTATTATGCTAAGCAGTTAATCGTAAAACTGATGAAAATACAAAGCTATTAATATGATTGAATTGAAGCATTGAGATTAATGAATATCTTGAATAACATCATCAAGACGGCAAGTTGGGAGCTAGCTAAATAATGATTGATTAGAAAAATGGGACAAGGGATGGGCACAGCAACCGTAAAAGCATTGCTTATATTAACTTTGCTTAACTGATGTAACAAACGTGTTTATTCGTTTCACTAAAAGTTATTCATTTTCTAAGAAATTCATCCAGCGCTATGGAATCAATCGATTCTTATATCAGGCACGTCATTTCTTATCTTAAATTTAATATATTTTGTTCTTACCTTCAGTCTTGCATTCGTTCGTAGCTATGTCAGTAAGAAATAAAAATTGTTTATAGAGTCGAAAAGTTTTGCGATCCAATTAGTGTGATGTTCGAGGTTGAGTCAGATAACGATCGCATACAGGACTTTGTTTTCTTTCATTACAATGGTTGTAAGCTCTTATTAAAATTGTTATTTTCAGCTCACGTGACTCGCGCAGCTAAATCATACAATATGTGCAGATGTGAATAATGACTTATTTGACACCATAGTGATAACAAAATTCGATTAGGATATGTAACATATGGTTAGATTATAGAGACTTTAAATGTTTCGATGCTAGTTCGACGTGTAGTTCGCAAGTCGGAACAGTGATGGCAAAATCGTATATAGTTAACCGTTTACGGAAGCTTTGCGTCTAATTATATGATCAACTTTGTGGTGAATGAATTTGCTTGTTAATACAGAAAATATTGCCTTTTACAGTCTCGATGAAATATAAATTAATAAGATTGTTGAAACAAGGCAATTAGGTGTGCATTGATGATACACACAAAATAATCCATATTTCGCAGGAACCAATAAATTGTATAAATAAAGTCCAATATTGTTACAGATAATAAAAATGCATTAAAACAAACTGATGAACTGCGATAGAAGCTAAAAAAATAAGAAAATAGTATATAGGCTTGATGGCTATGTCGTCCATTGCAGACATTCGACCTAGTCTCATTATAGCCCGAACTTTCGGCTTGGCCCCATATTCCATTACAAAGTCAAGTGTTTCGGTGTCAAAGGAAGCTATAATCTATTCAGTACCTTGGTTTTTATTATACCTGTATGCTTTATATGATCGAATCGACGTCTATAGTCAAGGGAATAAAGATGTCAAGTTTCTAGTACTTGCCGTGACGCGTACTATTCTCACAGTAGGCACACTTACCGTTGACATGATACTTTGTATTGCCAGAAACAGTCGACTGCAGAGTTCTCTCCACTTTTTTAGAAAATATGACCTTACGGTTAAGATAAATATTCGTTATCGATCAACTGTTGACCGATACATTCTTCAATTATTCTTTAAATCCAAAGGGTTATTGTAATAAAGGATGGAGCGAACTATGTAACGCCTAATCGGAATATAAATAATTATATCATTCCGTCCTTTTATACAATAAACTCATTATAGGTGTTAATCGGAGGACTCCGAAAGGAAAACGTACTAAGTAAATTCGTTTAATGATTGAGTGCAATGAAAAATGCTGTTATCATAAAAAGACGTTTGTTTATTTCAAATATGATGTCGGAAAGTAAGGAAAAAATTTACGGATACACACTTGGACAATTTTTTGTTTCCTGATTATTTACTTTTTGGCGATTGGCTGGTTTACATATTTCTACGAACCATCTAAAAGTTTAATGGCAGCGTTCATTTATATATATCTGTATTTACCATTATCTACTGCTACAGTCAAATTTTTATCGTCAGTAACATCTATTTTTCTGAGATTCCGTCATTTGAACAGCTTGCTTGTACCAGGTTAATATTTGCCATTTACGTGTCAATGAAATTTAGCATTTTTTAAATTTATAATAAGAAGCACTCGTTGACTTGAAAGCAAGGCACGGTATAACGTATCGATAAAAAATTTCTATATTACAGGGCTTTCTTCGATACTACTGGAAATAGATAACAAAGCAAAGAGATTCCATTTACGTGATATCTGTTGGTTACATAGCTGCCTATGTGCCGCGGTAGAAGATGTGAACTCACTTTATTCAGCGCAACTGCTGCTGTGGTTCGCTAATTTTACTTTCAATACCATAACGCTGATTCACGACTTTACAGATTTTGAACCTAAAAAAATCGATGATGCTGCCAAATTTATACGAGATGGTGGACTGGTGATTCTATTTTCTCTACTAGTTTCTTTTATGGCTGCCATTTGCCATTTCACTGCTGCAGAAGTAAAGTATAAGTAACAATGTTACTAATTATTACCAAAATACTTTCATAATAATTGCACTATTCATTATTTATTGTTATCGTCATCGATAATTCGTACTATTCAAGGGAGATCGCGCTATAATGAGGATCTGGTGAGACCGAATCAATCTTTACACGTTTTGTCACAAATTGAAGAATATTAAAAAATTATTTAATACGAGGGTCGTTTGAAAAGTCCGTGCAAAAATAAAAACTGCTTTATTTTTTTTAATAAATCTTTTTTATTTTTCAACATAGTCTCCTTTTAGGCTTATACACTTCATCCAATGCTGCTCTAGTTTGTTAATCCCTTCCAAATAATAGGATTTGTCCAATTCTGTAAAATAGCTATTCGTTTCTGCAATCACCTCCTTGTTTGAATAAAATCTTTTCCCCGCCAGCCATTTTTTCATATTAGGGAACAAATAGTAGTCCGACGGAGCCAAGTCTGGAGAATAGGGGGGATGTGAAACGAGTTGGAACCCTATCTCCATCAGTTTTACGGCCACAACTGCTGAGGCGTGAGCTGGCGCATTGTCGTGGTGGAAGAGGACTTTTTTGTGGGCCAATCGTGGACGTTTCTCTAGCAACTTGGTTTTCAAACGATCCAATAACGATGAATAATATTCGCCTGTGATGGTTTTACTCTTTTCCAGATAGTCGATGAAGATTATTCCTTGCGAATTCGAAAAGACAGTCGCCATAACCTTCCCGGCCGAAGGAATTGTCTTCGTCTTTTTCGGAGCAGATTCCCCCTTGGTAATCCATTGTTTAGACTGTTCTTTGGTCTCAGGAGTGTAGTGATGTATCCATGTTTCATCTTCTTGATGAAACGACGCTTAAAGTCTTGCGGATTTTGCTGGAACAGCTGCAAGCCATTCTTGCAACACTTCACACGATCTCGTTTTTGGTCAATCGTGAGCAATCGCGGCACCCATCTAGCGGATAACTTTTTCATGTCCAAATGTTGGTGCAAAATATTATGTACCCGTTCGCTCGAGATGCCTACAGTACTAGCAATCTCAGGCACCTTCACTCTTCTGTCAGCCATCACCATATCATGGATTTTATCAATGATTTCTGAAGTGGTAACCTCAACACAGGGCGACCAGAACGTTCAGCGTCTTTTGTGCTCATATGGCCACTCCGAAAATTTTGAAACCACTTATAAACCATTCTAATCGAAGGTGCACAATCACCATAATGTTTATCAAGCTTCTGCTTAATCTCCTGAGGCGTTTTGCCTTTGAAAAAGTAATGTTTAATCAATACACGAAATTCTTTTTCGTCCATTTTTTTACAACCACTCGATTTCTTTGATCGAAACGAATGTAAAACGCAAAGTAATTGACCGATCTGGCTGAAACTTGGTGTGTGCTCTTCCAAGATATGCCACTAACTGAAAATAACCTTGATACGCACTAGTAGCGCCATCTCTCTGACTTTCCACGGACTTTTCAAACGACCCTCGTATTAAAGGCATATTGAATTTCCTATTTTTGGCGAATCATGAGACACGACGGTATCTAATAGTAACATTTTTCATTGCATTATCAATTTCCTCTAGTATTATAAATTTCTTAGGTAAATCAACTCGCTTCAAAAGATATTTTACCCATACGAATAATCTTGGTTATATATACTCATTAAATGCTGAATGTCCATCAATTTTAAGTGGAGTCTAATATAATTATCCATTTTTAAGAAATGCAATTGTGAACCAAAAGTTAATAACAGATAGAATATTCGTATACTATTTCGGATAGCAACTTTTCCACGAATCGATTTTTTATGTTCACAAGAGTTAACAAAAAATAAAAATGTGAGTTAATGAATGGTTTCTAAAAATTAAAAAAATCATTTTTCTTATTTGCCACCTTATCTCGTATTTATTTTATGCGCAATAATCATCCATAAATGAAAATCGATAGTAATATGCTCTAATGAAAACCAAATATTGATCATTAAGTTGACGTCTGTTTATTCACTCCACGTATTTACTCGAGCTCACCATAGACGCTCATGCATAAGTATAACGAAGGAAATTTAGGTTGTTTGATCGTGAAGCCAAAATGTTTTTCACTAATTAAAATACTACTGTACCGAACTATGGATGTTTCGTAAAAAAACTTTCGAGAATCAATTTTATTTCCTGTACAGTTTTAGTTTACCTTCGTTTCTAGACAGTTCTTTTAGCTTGGGGGCATTTCTCAACTTTCAGGCAAACAAGGTTGGAGCGACGGTTTTTTCACCAAGCTCAAGATACTTTCGATGTTGGAGTAATCAAGGGGTAAGATATTTTTATTTTCAATTTTGGTACGACGGACGCTCAACTAGTTTTCTGGTCTATTTATTTTCTAAGCACTTAATAATACAGTTTTGGCGCAAATTTCGTTCAGCTACGAACATTTATTCCGAAAATCATTACTCACGGACTGCATCCATATGTACTTATTATTTCACGCGCCTACACAGATCTACAGATTGTGAACTCAAAATTTAGATGTACATCGAAGAACTTTTTGATTTATTACGTAAATTAATTCAGAAATAATCTTACACCGTGAGATTTTGACTGGAGGTTTACACGAGTTGTTCTATCTACTGAAAGTGAGAAGCCCATTGTAATAAAAAAAAGCACATAAACGTGTAAAAGTACGTAAAGCATAAAAACATTAGTATTTTTGAAATAAAGAAATAACGAACTGTGTGTAAAAAGCTCACAACTTGTATTTCAACTTCGTACGAACAAAATGTGCCGTGCGAAGCGAACTTCGTACAAAAACGAAAATTTAGTCAGACATTGAATTTTATTATTATATTTTACGTCTAGGAAAAAGTCGATTCTTTATGAAATTACAAAAAGTTAAGAAATGGTGTAAGGTCTCATATTATCCATCATGCATATTTTACACATTATGTATTAAAATTATTAATTTATTATTAGGATAAATTCGCGGTTGGACAGTACTTTTCTTTGCACGAAGTACACTTTAGTGCTGCATCTGGATTGTTTCGAATTAATCTCTCACTATTACTAAAGGTAAAGATACTTCAACTAACAAAATAAATGCACATTTTTTTTTATTTTTACCTACATATGCATACTATTTAATTCGTATGAATGAATTATTCGTGAAAATTTTAATTATTTTATGAATTGTATGTTAAAGTATGCGGTTCGTTACATATGCTAACTCAATCTTGTAAGATCATTTAAATATACGAGTATAATATTCAACGTCGTATGAACTCAAAGTCAACGAACCATTGAATCAGCTGAAATTTCTCTATAGTTCATCATCCAATCAAGTCTAAAAATAACAACTTTCACTTATATAGGTTAATATATTGATGATCCATGAAAATTAATACTGTAATTCAGTGATAATATCAGAGCTACTTAAGTTTTAAATCTACTTTTCGAGGCAAATGAACGTGCTCTTTGAATTCTTGAATTTTACTCTTTAATATAAACAAATATAAGTTTTATAAATTCAGTTTTTTAATTCTATATTTAAAAAAATCTTTTATTTTAAAATATAAATACTTACGAATTTGATAGAATCCATCAAAATGTTAATGTTCTTAATCGATTTGAACCTTTGAGATAATTCAATCATCAAAGTAAAGCGATTGGAGCATCATTTATATTGCTTGGTAATAAATAGTATGGAAGTTATAAAGAAAGAAAAGTTAACAAAATTATACTCACTAAAATAGATAAGGGAAAAGTGGGGATTTTAATAGAAAACAATTTTATGTTTTAGGATCACTTCCTTTTTTATTGATATTTTTTAATGATTTGGAAAATAACTATTTTGTCCACTTTTGTCCTAAATAGTTTTATGAAGTAATGTGCATATTACCTGTACATAATTTTCAGTTATAATACTGCATCATGCGTCGTCCTGTCAAAATTACAAAGCATACAAAATTTTAGTTAATTAAATACCCAGAGATCGTAAACCCTCCTTGTCACCTTATAAACTCTATTATCCACATTGAGAAAAGTGACCTTATAAAACTTAATGTAGCTATGACAAAACTTACTATAAGATACTATAAAGTAGTGACACATTGGTAATGTATTTTGATATAATCATATCTATTCATGATTACTATTATCACTTTTACTATAATCGAAAGATAAAATATATTAAAACATCATAAAAATTACTAACACAGTAAAAAACTTTGGATGTAATAATATTTTGAATAAAATAATTTTATATTTATAATATTTGCTCTGAAGTGAATGAAAACTGATACAGTTAAAGTGAAAATTGATATAAATTATAGCAACATATATCATTTTCAAACAATGTTATCGGATCATAAAAAAATTTAATGGATGACATAATAAAATGAGTACATATAATATAGCTTAACTTCATAGATTTGTATATTTCGATATATATATATATATATATATATATATATATATATATATATATATATATATATATGTGTGTGTGTGTTTTTTTTGTTGTTGCTTATGAAGGTCACATCAACCAGTTTGGTTATTAGTGACCACTAGATATACAGATTTTACATATGAAAGTATATACAGTAAAAAATAGTGAGAAAGGTATACTCGTACAATATGTACTTTTTTTTGGGAGTTTACAGTAGAATTGTAGTACATTGTTGTACATTGGTATGGCATGGTTTGCAATATGGTATATAGATTATTTCGAGTTACAATATAATCGTGGTCAATACAGAATTGTACAGTGTTTTTATACAGCAATTTTACAAAAAGTTAATTACACAATATGGTATGTAGTTTATTGTTATATTATATTTTTGTTAAATAAGATGTAGGATATTTATTTCTTTTAAATAAGCTATTAGGTTTTTGAGTGTTTCTTCTTTCTTGAATATATCGGTAATATTTTCTGGGATTTTTAATTTTTTCCGTATGTTGTTGTATTTTCGACATTCAGTGAGGATGTTTTCAAGTGTCAATGTAGTAGAGCATGCGTCACATTGGTGGGGATCTTTTTTTGTAATGAGATTGCAGTGTGTTAGGTTGGTGTGATCGATTCTCAGTCGGGTAAGACAAACTTGACTTTTTCGATCGAAATTGTATGCTGTACTTTTTTCGAAGAAATCTTAAATTATTTTGTGTATTTTCATTGGCTCTAAGTTTTTCCAATTTTCACTCCATTTCTTTTTAGAAGCAGTAATCATTTATTTTTTAACTTCTAAGTGGTATGTTGGTATTTTTTTGTTTGATTCTTCGACCAGGACTGGAATTTTTGCATGTTTTTAATGCGTTTTTAATTTCTAGGAGTGATATTAGATCATTCAGCAAATCTGTATCGGGTGTAGTTTCAATGTTGTTTGGATCCATTATCTCGTTGTCTAATATTATTTTACTTTGTATAAATAGAGGATCGTAGTTAGTGTCACTAGAATTTATAGCACAGGTTTTTGCTAAGGTATTTGCCATTTCTTCGTTTGGCGTATTGTTTGTTAATGTTGATATACATTCAATCCATGATTATCTTTTATTTTTTTTAATTATAAAACCTTGCTTCAGCTCGTTTAATTTGGAATTCAGCTTTGTTGTCTTCTGTATTTTTCTTTTTGTATCGGTTAACGGCTCTTTTTGATGTTCTTATTGCTTCTTCGCATTTGTTGTTCCACCATGGTGTACTTTTCTTTCCGGTGTAATTGTTTGTTTTAGGTACAGATTTTTCGGCTGCATCAGTAATCATAGTTTCGAAATTAGCAATTTTAGTGTCTATAGGTATATTGATTCCTTCTGGATCTAATAAACTATCAATATTTTTGTCGATTTCTTCTCGGAAAAGACACCAGTTGGCTTTTTTGAAATTCCATCTTTTGATAGTAGTAGGGTAATTATTGGAGTGATTATCAGATTTAATTTCAATGATGATTTTGATTGGAAAATGGTCACTGTTGTAAATGTCATCGTTAACTGACCACTTAATAGAATTAGCTATACTTAGATGACATAGACTTAAATCGATTGAGTTTAACAAGCCATTTGATATGTTAAAGTGTGTTGGCGTTTGGTCGTTGAGCAGTATTATTTCGTGGTTTGTGAGAATATTTTCGATTTTTTTGCTTCGACTATCAGTTTTGTGGGAGCCCCATAGAGTGTGGTGGCTGTTAAAATCACCTACTAAAATGAATGGTTCAGGTAGCTGAAAAATGAGATCGGTGATATCTTGTTCGTTTAAATCATAGTTATTTGGTAGGTAAATTGAGCAAATACAGATTTTATTTGTATTAAGTGTTACTAACGTTGCTACTACTTCTAGATTACTATTTAGATTTATTTCTATTGCGTCTAAATTGCTTTTGACATATATAGCCACACCTCCACTTGCAGATAGGCAGTTTTGTTGATTTTTATAGAAAATTTCAAAGTTTTTTAATTTGGTGTGGTAGTTATTTTTAAAGTTAGTTTCCTGTACACATATGACGTCTGGATTTTGGTCTACTATAAGTTTTTGTAAAAATTCAAATTGGTGTTGTAATCCGTTTATATTCCATTGTATTATTTTTTTATCCATTTTTAATTATTATGAAGAATCTTCAGCAGATGATGCAGCTGTAGCTGAACTTTCAATTTCTTGGTTCAATATATATTGTTTTAGTTTTTTTGTAATTCTAGTGAATCTACTTTTGAGATTTTTATGTTGTGCCAAGGGATATAGTTCATTTATTAGATCTATTAAGCTATTAATATTTTCGGTGTAGTTTAGTGCAATAAAATGTGGAGTGGGAGAACCGTGTATGTTTTCTAAAAAGCTTTTGAAATATAATGGGTTAAGTATTTTATCTGGTTTATTTAATTTACTTTCGAGAGGAGCTAACATTTCATCTAACGTGTGTACACTTACATCTGCTGTTTTCTTGTTTTTTTGCAGTCATTTTATTTGTTTCTTTGGGTTTCGTGAAACTTTGGTTTTCTTGGGAGGAAATTGTTTCTTCTGAAGTTAGAGTTGTTCTTTTAAGAGGTAGTGTATTTTGGGTATGAGAAATATTTTCTATTTCTACATCTAGTGTTTGTTCTGATATTTTGCTATCTGTGGTATTTTCAGTTATTGAGGGTGTCATTGAATTTTGTGTTAAGTCAGTTAGATCTATATCTTTTGTTTTGTTATTGGTATAATTAATTGAGCTATCTTGAGAAATATTTGAAGAGTTTTGACAGTTTTTTGCGAGATGTCCTTGTTGGTTGCATAAAAAGCATTTGAGATCATCCGTATTAAGAAAAATCAAAAATTTAGTATTATCGTGTGTAATTTCTATCGAGGACGGCATGGTTTTGAGATCTTCAGGATGTATATACATTTGGCGTCTAAAGCTTTCTACATGGTTATAGCCATCGTCTGGTACACCGGCTTTAAGGAACGATATACCCGAGCTTCTACGTATTTTTAGTTTGTCGATGTATTCTTCAATACATGAGTGTGGGATCGAGGGACACACATTTGATATTATGATACGTTTATGTCGAGATATTAGTAGGCGCGTTTCAAGGTTTGTCTCTCCTATAGTTATTAATTTGTGTTTACTTACAAATTCCTCAGCGAGTTGTTTACATGATAGAAATACACATATTCGCCCGTGTGAAATTCTTGATGCAAATCGAATGTGTTGTGGGCCTACAATTTCTCCAACTGTGATAATGTATTCTCTTAATTTAATACCTTCTTTGCTTTTAATAATTATTGCTTGATCTCGTTTCGGAAATTGATTTTTTTGAGTCACACTTGCATAACTTTGGCTGCTTGTAGGTGGGATTTTTACGTTGGTTTGGTTGTTGGGATGAGCCCCGATGTCGGAAGTCATCATGTTGTTGGTAGGATGAGTTGATCCGGAAGCTGCTCTAAAGTGCAGGTTCCTTATCTTAAAGCCTGCACTCTAGTTTTATATTGTAATGTATTGAATTACGCTTAATCACTCTTACAGTTATTGTATTAGAAGGATTGGAACTCGCGTTTACCAATCGTGTTTAGTGACTGTGAACTAGTGATACGTCAGAACGCTGTGACGGTCAGAACGGGACTCTTCGATATATATTTGAATGCTTTCAAAATATACATATAGTTTGTATAAATTCGATTGGGGAATAATTGACAAGGAAGATATTCACGACTTTTATTTGACAAATTTGGTCTTATTAACCGACAGATATTGCTATACATTAAGAAAAATTGGAATTAAAAAAATAATCATTGAAAACTTTATTTTTTTTAATCTCTGTCAAAAATAATGTTGTATTCTTTATTTTATAATACAACATATAAACTTTTGATAAATGAAGTTGATACTTAGTTTCTATGTACATGGGATCTTCTTACTTACAAGCGACCAAAACATGACCACTTATTATATAAGACAATTTTTTGTTTATATGCACACAAAACATATGCCTAGTATTTCAGTATGAAAATTTAGGCAAATGATGACCTATATACATGCAACAATTGCGTAAAGTTTGAAAAAAAAATCTATTAACTTGTGTCTTTAGACCCATTGAAATAGCTAAGAATTACCACTATACAGTAATGCGATAATTATGATTATTGCCACATATCAGTTTAGGTCATTTTACAGATGTTAGAATAATATTTTGAAAAATTATAATATATCGATAGAGAGTAGAGAAATAACGTTTATCTACTGATGCAATTATATCAATGAAAATTTGAATTGGCAAATTAATGATTGAAATTTGTTCCTGAATTTTTTCCCCAGATCCTTAGTCAGTAAAACTTATTATGATAATCCATCATAATATTTGCTAGAATAAGAAAGAAAGTTTTAAACATTCGTATAAGAAAAGTTGCTATATTTGTTAACAAAATTTATAGTTTCAAATTTTGCTATATATTATAATAACATTACTACAAAACAAGTGTGTACCTCCGTTACAATATATTATATCACAAATTATAGTAAATTTTATAAGGTCATTTCTTTCAGTGTACGAACTGTAATTATTATTCTATAATCGTATGTACGTAATATCTATCTCTCAAACAACATTCTAGTAATTTCAAGATATTTTTCGTAGATCGCTGGGGCAATGACTACATATTTAGTTATTCTGAAATCACCTGCACGATCCTGATTTTGCAGAAATATTTTTATGAATCATCCATCGCCTTTGACATCATTTTCATTCTCTCGTCTATTTATTTCTAAAGTTCCTGGTATTGTTGCGAATAAATTTAGAAATAAACGAGTAAAGGTTTAAAAAATTGTTATTTCTTTTTCTAACTAGGGAGATCACTAAGCTTTTTTTTCAACAATTTTCTAAACAAAACCCCAAGTTTGAGAAAACAGATAAAATGTTTCATCACCTTGAAAAAATTAAGTTCATTTGATATAAATTCAGACAGGATTATTTGATTTATTTATTATTAACTAAGTTTAACTAGCAACAAGTTTTATGCATCTAAATAATATTACAAATTTTTCTTTTTAAATGAAAATTGGCCTTACTAACAATAAAATATGGTTCGTGGCAGTTTCTTTCTACTTGAATTAAGGAGGCTCCAGCGACTACAGCAAAAGTCAAAACAGCTTAAACAAATAAAGTTGTAAAACGGAGTATATATTTAATATAAAAAATTATATATATTTAGTATAAAAAAAACTATTTTTGAAATAGTATTTGTTCAAAAGTAGCCACTAACATAACACACTTTATAAATTTAATAAATAGTCTCCAAATTGATCTTTTTTTGTAATGAGCCAATCAGCAACTAGCTTTTATTGATACTGTATATGGGCAATACGAAATGTTTATTTATATCTAACGTAACCTAATTGCATATCGCGCAGTCACCAGCTATATTATTTATTAAATTTGAAATTACCGAAATATTCAGCCGCAAGTCATGAAAACTTTTATTGCGAATATGTAACAAATTTCGCATAATTCAAACTCGCGCGACATTCTTTAACAGCAAAACAAATATGGTTGCTGTTCAATAGCCGGATATCCGAGGGCCTAATAAATTTTTTGAACAATTTTCACAAATATCTTGATATTTTCCACGGCTACCTATACTTTTAAATATATCATATGAAAGCTAAAGTCTTAACCTATAAGTATATTACTTTTCTATTTTATAACTACTCATTTAAGGTTAATAACGAATCAATTTTAAATCTTTTCCGCGTCGAGTTCCATATGAGGATATGTTGAAAGTGTAAACTTTAAAATGAAATATCTTAAAATTTTCCACGGCTTGCGGGGTGAATGAGTATATCGTTGGATTCAACGCAATCTAATCTATCGAAATCACTATTACTGATATGTTAACTTTCCGCGATGGAGCCCTCTTAATGATGTAAAAAAAGTTGATATTCATGAAAAGGTCTGTTTTCACAACAGAAAATAATTTTTCTAGGAAACCCAAGAAAAATTATCAAAATCTTTCGATTTGAATTGATCTACACTGCCGGTCACGTACGTTTACTCCCCCCCCCCCCCCCCCCCGGCAAAATCAGTCAAATTTGCTCTTTCCAAAAGTTTTCAAAATATGTACTTCGTGACTGCATAAAATTGTTTACTTAATTTATACAAGTGACTTATTGACATTGTAAATTGGAAAAAATTTTTTCTTATCTTTGCAATTATGTCGGATATGGGATAAAAGTGATATAAAAATTTGGCAAAGTGCACTTTATAACTCATTCAAAGCCCTATCCGAAACATTCATTAAAAAATTTTTTTTCATAAACCGTAACGTGTGTACGAGCAGTTTTTATACTCGTATTGACAGTTTTTTTTCAACATATTATATCTCCGTGAATTCCAATAATAAAAAAAAATTTATATAAGAGAAAATGTTTGTTTTTTTATGTAGAATGCTATTAAATTTTTTGAGATTTTTATTTGAAAAAATTATTTTAACTTTTTCCTCCCACCCAGCGCGCAAAAAAAATTTTGAAAATTACATGAAATATTCTTTTTGATTCTTACAATAATGCATCGTAAATGTTACAGTTTTATAAAATTATAAAATATAAACAAATTTTTACGTGGAAAACTTTAATTCTTCGCAGAAAACAATAAGTAGGCGTTATAGATTCACTTAACATTTTAAAATTATTACTTATTTCGTAGAGTGCATATATATAGAGTATATCTAACATGCTGTATAGCATTGACAGTGTATTTACAAATATAGTGAAATCCCTATTATCATCAAATTAAGCATGCTTCTTCAAATAGTTTTGTATTTTTAATTATAAAAGTATCAGTCGGTAACAATCACTTTGAGTGTGTGTAACTACGTATTTTTGTATTTTCTGTGACCAGGGCGAAATTAAAAAATTTATCGTTACTTGATCGTTATAAGAATATTGTTCTTTACCAAATTAATATGAGTCGTCATGCCATTACAAAAAAGTTGAACATAGATCGGCGTACAGTTGCTTATAAATTAAGAAATTTTCTGAAACAGGTAGTGTAGCAAATAGACGCCAAAAAAGAAGAAAAACTACTGCAACAGAAAACAATGATATTTGCCAAAAAAGTTTCCGAAATCGAAGAAAAACATTTACCAAACCTTATAAGTGTGAGTACAGTGCAAAGACGATTGAGAGAGAAAGAACTATTTGATCGAATTGCAGCTAAAAAGCCTCTACTGTGATTTGTAAATAAAAAGAAACGCTTACAGTGGGCAAGAGCATATAAGGACTGGACAACTGACGATTGGAAAAATGTTCTTTGGTCTGATGAGTCCAAATTTGAAATATTCGGAAGTAGAAAAAGAGTTTACGACACGCCGTGCGGAAAGTTCGTTTTTCCCGCACGCTCGGCAAAAAAAGTGTGTTGAAAATCGCACTTTCCACACGTCGTATCAAAAAATACGGTACGGCACATGTTCAGGAAAGAGTTTCTCGCTTCGCTCGGGCGTAAACGCCACACGGGACAAGAATCTACTTTCCCGCATTTGTATCGTAATGTACTATTACGTAAGAAGAAGAAAAGTATACTGAGGAATGTTTGGTTCCTAGTGTAAAGCACGGTGGTGGTTTAATTATGGTTTGGGGGTGTTTTACTGGTTCAAAAGTAGGCGAACTCGTGAATATTGATAGGATTTTGAAGAAAGAAGGTTACAAAAAAATTTTACAAAATCATGCAGTAAAATCAAGATTGCAATTAATTGGCCGAAAATTTGAATTCCAACAAGACAATGATCCTAAATATACGTCAAGATTGTGTAAAAATTATTTATCCAATTTGGAAAAGCAAAACAAGTTAAAATGTATGCAATCGCCATCACAATTGCCCAATTTAAATCCAATTGAATTACTATTGGAAGAACTCAATCGATCTGCAAGAAAATTCTGTCCGACTTTTGTAACTCATTTGTGAGAAATATTGCAACAAGAGTGGAAAAATATTCAAGAAAAAATGTTGAATAAACTGATTACGAGAATGCCAAAGCTATGTAAAGCAGTAATCAAGCACAAAGGAGGACACAGTCACTTAAAATTAACCTACGTAATTACGTAGACGTTTACCTAGTTTACTTTATCTTGTCGTCGTTACATCGAATTTATATATTTTGTTGATTTTGTTCTTATGTTAATGGATATAATAGTAAAATATACACACGTTAATTAAATACAAAGTGTGATTGTTAGCAGTTGAAGTTAATAATCTAAATGTCTTGTATAAATTTCTAGTGCCTGTTAGTGTTTTAAAGGAAATACACAAGTTTTGTGAACAGTAATATGCGTTTTTATTGAAAACTTGAATCTCATTATTTTTATGAAGAAAATAACCTTGCTAAATAAAACGACAAGATATTTTATCAAAGTAACATTTTGAAAAAATTAAAAAAAAAATCTGAAAAAATTTGACAGCAAATATTTTCTCTTATAAAAATTTTGTTGTTATTGGAATTCACGGAGATATAATATGATCAAAAAAAACTGTTAATATAAGGAAAAAATGCTCGTACGCGCGTCACAGTTGATGAAAAAATTTTTTATTGAATGATTCGAATAAGGCTTGAAATGAGTTATAAAATGCTCTTTACCAAATTTTTGTATCCTACGTCCAACATCATTTCAAAGATAAGAAAAAAATTTTTCAATTTACAATGTCAAAAAATTGCTTGTAAAAATTAAATAAACAATGTTATGCTCTTAGAAAGAGCTTTCAAACAAGTTCTGGCTCATATCTGTACATTATTTCATACCAGAGATAAACAATTGCAAATTTTACTAATTTTTCTGTGGAGGGTGTGTGTGTGGGGGGGGGGGGGAAGTACGTGACTGGCAGTATACTTTCGATATTTTAATTTTTTTATAATGGGCATTGCAAATATAGCATTTATTTTATAGCTAAAGCAATAAAATATAATTTAATGTTTTCGAATATTGCATCATCTATCAAGCCTTATAATAGCAAGAAATTAATTGCTAGATGTAATAAGGTTTCACACCAAAACCCAATTTTTTTACTTATTCGAGATGAAAAGAAATAATTAATCAAAGACTTTTTGAAAAAAATAATCCTTAATTTTTATTGTTCGTGTACGTAAATTTCAAATTTATTCTTATGCTTTTGTTGTTTTAAATTGAAGAGTGGCTATGACTTAAATGTTAATTTTTTTTGTAATTGAATTATAATAAAAGTTTATGTACAAAGATTAGTAATTACTAAATTGAATCGAAAATTCTAGGCTTAATTATTATTAAATATAACCATGTTAGAAATAATTTTTGCGCACACTGTTGCACGCACTGACTTGGAGTTTACAATAGTTTATAAACATTAGATTTTAGATACTTATAACAGTTAATAACAAATTTTTTCTGTTAGTAATAATTATATACAGTTATTAACCTTTAGAGGGCGGGAAAACCACTATAGTGGCTCAAAATAATTTATCAAGTTTTTATCATAAAAAAATTTGCTATTAATAGCAGTTATGAACAGTTTTCAAATCAATTTCTAAAATGTAAATAATTGTTTACATCTTTAATAAATAGTTAGTTATCATATGTCATAATTAAGAATTATTTTATACACTATATATTGTTATTATGATTTAATTTTTTTCGTCTATAAGTACTTTTTTGTACTGATAAATTACTAGTTATAATTAACTTCAAATGTTACCAATTTTTTATTCCAATAGGTAATTGATGATAACTGCTATTTACAGTTATTTATAGTTATTTGCATCTATTATTTCTCAAAATAAATTTGTTTTGATGAATAAAAATGCAAATAACCGTTAGTAACTGAACAATCTGTTATTAAATAATAACAGTTTTTTAACAAATAATAACTCTTTATATTGTTATATATGTCCAAAATATAATGTTTGTAAACGGTTATACATTGTAAATAAGCAAATGTTACTAACTAATAATTTCTATTTATTATAATTTTATGCGTAAATTATTTCCGACAGAGAATGAACTAGAATAGGTGAGCTTCGTATAATAGAACTACTATGCGCTTACTGTTGTAACCTCTCGTTAATAATAGACTTTTCGACGATGATTCATTGTAAAGCTTATGAGAGAAGCCTTAAAATGAGCCATCACACGGTATTTTTTATGATATCTAACTTGAGCTATGCATTTTACATCTGCCCTCCTTTTTATGGGTATGCAAAGACAGTGGACTCGATATCCAAAATGAATAATTTTGAATTTTGTAAGTAATATGTAGTCACAAATTCGGAAAAAGATGTTTTTACGTTACGATATCAACATAACTTACGTTTCTAATACTGTAAGCTAATTAGTGCTATATGGAATATCATTGTGACGTATAATCATTATGTCAAAAAAATAAAACAAAATTAGATATTTTAACTTTGATAACTGAAATAACTGAGTTTATTTTAGATATCTGTCAAGTTTTCTATTTGATTATGCAATACTCAGTAGGAACTACACAACTAAAAAAGTGAAAAAATAACGTTAGTGTAGTGTTTATTCATAATTAATTTCCATTATGGTTCTAAATTGGTTGTACTTGAGCATTTCTTTTCTTATTTAAGGTGAATATAGATATTGATAGAATATTATAGAATATAGAATATTGATAACATAATATAGAACATGAATAACATAGAATATTGATAAAAAATGTTCGAGAACGTTAGAAAGAATCGTAGAAACTATTTATCGGTATTTTTACATTATTGGCATTAAGTGAAAATCGTCTACTTGATATACCTTGTATGACCAAAATTAATGATTTTTGATAAGGTTACGCAGGTTTTTAACAGAAGAACAAGAGGGTAATCACTATAAGGAGATATTTAGAATTATAGATAATAGTATCCGGAGCAGGCTCATTATATTTTCATACTAAATATTTGTCTTTCTGGTTTTCTTTAAATACGAAAAAATAGTAAATTTATAGACGTTCTAAATCCTGACCGTAGTCAGTAAGTTTCTAACTGAAAGTACTTATATGCAATGTACAGAGCAGCTACACGTGGGTAGCAGGGTGCGAATAGCACGCATTTCCGTGATTCCCATTTTACGACCCTTTACCGAGACAGCGACCTATACTTCCTTGCACGCAAAACTGTTACTACCAGCTTTACGATTTTCCAGTAGACTATTTAGCAGAAACCTCATTTGATTGTTGATCTCATGATATATTTAGATTGAAGCTTAACGACCCACATAAATATTTGAACAGAAAAAAACGGTGAACTGGCACTCTGATTAGAACATTTTTTTAATGTCTTGATTATGTCTCGTTCAAAAGATATACATAGTAAGCAATATAGATAAATATAAAATAATGTCCGACACTATACTTTTATGTGTTTTTTTCAAACCATCGGTAGCCTGGACTTTCTCTCTATGCATGATCGCACGAGAGACTGACGCGTTCTCTCCACTGAGGCCAGCGCGGCTTCGGAACCAATAATGACTAATGCGCGTGCGCACAGATAGCTAGCGTAATCTGTGCAGCGTTCAAAACGAGCCTAGTTCTCGAAGTAACAACGAGAAAAAATGAAAGCGAAGGGATTGTCTGAAATATTTCGGAGAAAATGTTCACTCGGCAGAAAGTATGCACGGTACACAGCATACCAGCGTGATCTGGCAGTAAAGCATTACGAGAAGAAAAGAAGTCGGTCGGAAAGAGCCAGAGCTGAAAGTGAAATGTTGTTGTCGCAGGAATCAGGGTGGCTGGTCTGCGCAACGGTGAGCGTGAACGACGTAAAGCCGCTGCTGTACGCAGCTCGATTCTTCGGGTGCGGACCTCGATCTGCGGAGGCGATCTCGGATGCGGAGCTCGATCAACGAGTACGACGTCTCGCTGGCCTACTTCGGTACCAGAAGAACGTCTGGCCTACTCGAGCTTGTGGGCCGTGGGCTTCGCGTGCACCTGCAGCTACGGCTTGTGTCCGATCGCGCGCTCGGGACACGAGACCGATTTGAAAATCGTGGCGCTCGCAGCCGGCCGCACCCTCCTTGCCTACGTGTGCTTCTTCAGCGACGCTATCCTCAGCATCAGGTGGAACGAGCGCCTTAGGACGGCTCTGCTGCTGTTGCGCAGCTTCGACGCCGCCGTCGACTACAACCTCGTCTGCCCCAGCACTTGGACTCTAAGAACTGTCAGCTGGCCAACGGTCATTACCGTTATCCTCTTTTGGCTTTCCTTTGGCTACATTACTTATAAGTGACGTTCTCTCTTTAACCTTATTAACTTAACTCTCTCTCTCTCATTTCATTCGCACTGTCTGGCTTTTTTATATGCCCGACTCATATATATTTTCCATAAGCACTTTGCACTAGTTCTCTTTAGAGAGAATTCTGTCTCGAAAAGAGACAAAAGTTCTGCTACAGATGCACTCCATCTTTAAATAAACTTAAATAAACATTTACAGCGTTTCTTCTGTCTTTGTTACAGCGAATTTACGAAAAATGAGTTTGTTTAAAAAAAAACCGCAAAATTAGTAACATCGATAAGATTATGGTCGTTCATTGCTTCACGTTGCTAATATACTAATGATTATTTGTTTCATGTTGTCTGCTGATAGATGTGAAATGACAAGTCCTCTCCTCAATGCAATCGTTTACGTGGTAGCAAACGCAGCTATTTCAATGCAACTCATCAAGTTTGCTGGCTTAATGGTTTTGCTACATCGGCGATTTAAATATATGCATGTGTTATTGCAAGCTGAAGGCGAGGGTAAGCAAAGTATATTTACGTTGTTGTATTGATTGAAGCATTCTGTAACGCGTGTTGACAGTTGTTTTTTGTGCCAGTGTATACGAAGCAAGCATGTACAGATTAGCTATCTCATAACTAACTTTTCCATCGTACCGTTATTGAGTGACGAGAAAAACAGCTGGAATTTGATTTCAACCTGAAAATTGGCAAATTATAAATGAATTAGTTTGATTGCGATCATCCAATCGAGAGAGTAATAATTCGCTCAGTAATATTACAATATCGAATCGAGAGGACAGCCTACGTTAATGTACACAAATGTAAACGTCAGTATACAATCATTTTAAAGCAACTCGCCTATGGCACATACACCAAGTACGAAGTTTTTAGCTGGAGCGCAATGACAGGTGCAAAATTGTTGTCGAGAATAATATGCAGTTTTGATCGAAAACAAAGGCGAAACTCGTTCGAAGACGCGCGTCTCATCTCCGACTTGAAACAAGAAGGTTCAAGGTTGTCTTATAACTGGCCGCAACTGGCAAATGGACATGAAGCGTTGAGCTAGGCATTTTGGATTTTTAATCAAGTCGGCTTGAAAGGTGGAATGTACGATGGGCTGCAGCTGCAGACTGGTTTGAGCGGTTAGCCTAGCAAGAGAAATGAAGTAGATTAAAAGCAAGTGGAAAAGTAGAAAGAGAGATTGAGAGGGAGCGCATGCAAGAATGATAAAGGCCTTAGGAAGGCAAGGAGGGTGAAGCGAAAATAGATTGAGAGGGTAGGTAGTGGAGGTGTTGACTCGAAGACGAACGAGCGTCCGCTCGTCTTTGCTTCGTACGTGCGAGAACATGAAATTGGAGTGGAGGACGTGCGAACGGTCCTTGCATTCGATTCCGAGCCGACGCCGCGACGGATATACACCAGCTGAAAAGAAAGTAGGCAGCTACGCTGTCTACGCCGACACACGCACGCGCACGCGTACTCGAATAAACACGTGCGTGCACTTCAGCCTCGAATAGCCAGGCTTACATCTACATCGATCCAAGTCGGCAGATTAGCCAGCAAGTGGAAAGCTCGAAACTTTCGACGTACCTTCCTGTCGTTCCGATCGTTGCCGCATTAGATTGCCTCGCGGATCTATTCTACCGAAAGAAACTTGCTGTCTCGTTTGGCGTTATTCGAAGCTTACTTTCGACCGCACACGATCGGTCGCTTCATTACGACGCTGTTTCGAGACGTGAGACGTCCGCCGCGGTAAAACCTCTAGGAAAGCGCTGTTTCTGGCGGCCTTATTTTCTCCGGTCTCGCTTCAACGAGTCTTCGAGCTTTCGGCCGCGCTACAAACGCGACGTTCAACGGACAAATTGAACGAGCCGTTTGCTCCGTAATATCGTTCGGTCATTCGGACAGCCAGCGAGTTGCATCGACGGAGACTCGTAAACTCTTGGCAGCCACTGACTTTGCCGCGGAGACGACTCGAGGATTCGAAAGAAGGAGCTGGGCAGTGCAGCGTCGAGAGATGCGACTGCAGGAGGTCTGGTGGTTACACTACACGCTGAGCAACGCCGCCGACATGGTCAACTCGATCTACTCCGTGCAGCTGCTATTCTGGCTAGCTACGATGTGGCTCAACGCTCTGTCCAGAATCTACGCGATCAGCGAGAGTCTTGCGGCGACCGCTCGTTTTTTGCCGAGAATCCGCCAATCTCTCCTCGTCACTGCATACGTCGTCAACCTGCTTATCATCACGACAGCCTGTCACTGTACTGCGCACCAGGCACGAAGCTTACTATAATAGCGTTACTTTTCGTTTCCCATGCACGTTCCTCTGAATTCATCTATAGTTGTATAAGGATACTTTTGCAGGCGAATACTATTGGCAAAGCGACGTTCAAGCCCGAAACAGCTACGTCAAAGAAACGCCATTCGCTCGAGGTACGATATCGCACTTTAATTGCAATTATTTTTCACACTTTTTCTTAATATGTATTGCTTGTTTGTTCGCAGCAATCTGTCGAGGTAGGCATTTATTTCAATCTCAGACAACTGCATTTTTCGGCAGCCGGTGGTTTCATATTCATCGACCTTCCACTTCTAATATCTGTAAGTTTGTCTATTTCCGTTATACAATTAGAATTGATCATTTTCAATTGAAATTCACTCGGTTTTATAGATGGCTTTGAGCTCATTAATATTTAGACTTTCATTAAATATATGTCACCATTGCACTTAAAATTACTTTAATGTTTATAACTTAATCCATAGCTTATTCAAAGTCATGCTTTGCTAAAATATTTATTATTCAAACTATTTCTAATTCATTTACTTTGCTCGATTCTTCAGCCTTATCATATTCCAAAATAATTAATAGTATTACTTGTTAGAAAGACACGACGCATAACTACGCTTCCTTTTCAAAAGTAATTTGAATTCTCTGAATATTTGAGATCATACTGCAATAATAAGTCACATGACCGCGTTCCTCTGTTTACAGATAACGGGCACTATGACAACGTATCTCGTTGTACTTCACAATAACACCTAAGCTCACGAAGGAAGGACACCGAAGAGTTCAGAAAAAGAACGATCAAGTTTGGGGAATATTTTCTTTTTTCATGTCATCATCCTTTCAGAGATTACTCGATTGGCATTATTTGTGACAACACAGTTCAAGGATTACTGTAAATCAATCAAGCGTCAAAGTTCCAAGCATATTTTGACCTAATCATTTGTGTCGTTCAGTGATGCATATGACTTCCAAAAAACACCAAGTCTTATTTTTTGTAAAAACCATTGCACATACAAAAGCTGTAGAGATTCAACTACTAGTGTGCTTATTAAAACAAAGATAATATACAATGTACCAATTTTATTTTTTTAAAATTATTTATCAAAATCATATAAATGAAGTCGAGAAAAAGAGTAAAAATTGCTTTACGACTTTCCTCGAAATAGTAAGTTCAAAGCTGTTGTTGTATGCTTTATTTGACATCTTCACGATAATCAATGTAGATTTGTTTGAAGCGTTTATTAATAATATTCCAACTTGTCGCAGCGACGTTCAAAGTGTTTTTCTTATGAAAATATTAACGTCTTGATCTTTTTAACGACAGCTCGAGCGGGAGAGGCCGGCATGCCACAGAGACACGGCTTCGTCCCCCTGAAACCTATCTTAAAAAAATCCCGTATTTTTCTGGCACGATGTGAAAAGGCGTAGCACCGAACATGGCCTCAAGCACGTCTGATAGAGGGGTGGAATCGCGAGACACGTCAAAGCTTTTATTTATGCACAGATATCTCTCTCTCTCTCTCTCTCTCTCTCTCTCTCTCTCTCTCTCTCTCTCTCTCTCTCTCTCTCTCTATCTCATACATGGATATGAATCTTTCGAGCATAATATGCATGATCCCGTGAGGCATACATCTTATAACATGTTTTAAAATTATGATACTACAATAAAACTCATTCTCCAAGAACCCTATTTACCTATTTATATTTAAAGCAATTGAAAGTTGTCTTGATTCCAAATTGATTCGCGTGCTTTTTATTCACATAAGCTTTTCAGCCCATCATAATAGAGCTTGCCTTTGGCAGTGTCATCCTGCAAACGCTTGTGGCACGTTGGCAAACTTTAAAGTAATATTAAAATAATATTGTACTTTTTTATAATAATAACTGATGATTTCAAAACAAACGTTTTGCTGGGCAAAAAGTTTATAAAAATCAAATATGGTAAACGTTATGAATTTCTTTTGCAATCATTCTAGTTGTAAATATTTGTTAAATATCAGTCAGAACGCGTTTTCTTGTATTACTAAGTTGGACGTTATGCATTATTGTTATACTTATAAGTCTTTTATGCGCTCTTAAATTGAGCGACGTTTAGCAGGGTAGCATGGAAAGGATATTGCGGAAATCTCATAAGATATAGCTATAAACTGGCGACCCATTAGTGGATTAAATTTCTCTGGGTAAAAGCCATGACTAGCAGTTTGAAAGCCGCAAAGGTCGACTCACCTTTAGTCAGCGAATAACAGTTCGTCTCGGAGCATAGTAGGTTTTTCTCGGCACACCTTTTAGAAGAATCATTCATCAAGAGTGGCGATTCCGGTTCACTTGTCTCTTTCATCGTCTTGAGAACGAGCGTGGCCAAATTTCTTCAAGGGGCTTGTTTCGACATTAAAATTAATATCATTCGAGCTGTCACATATATCTTATCCTACTGTTTAAGTATCGATTGAACGCTCGTTAATGTTCAGCTTGTTTGATCGATCGGTTCGATGTTGAGCATTCTAATCATGCAAATGACTGTAGTTTCTTTTTTCAGAAAAGTAATGATGGCGAAAGGTATACCACGAGCTGCCAACGTCAATGAAGGAATTGTTTTTTTACTCGCGGAGACGGAAGCGTTCGCTGCAAGTGTTTCTCGAAAGCGTAACTGCGTGGAAGAAATCAGACGGTAAAGATAGTCGGTAGTAAACGAGAAAGAAAGTAGAAAATCTCGCGCACGTATAAGGTATATGCTGCATCCCACCCCTGAGCCCTGAGAGCTTTGGCGCGTAGCTTCTACGCCTGCGTATTCCGGCCATGCCTGGCCTGTGCGCCGAACGCCCGAATGAAGCTGAGCGCCGACAATGCTCATCAGTATGCGTTCGTCTTTCCGTGCAAACTTAACGCGCCAGAATTTTCTTCGGTATTAACTGTCGGCGCACGAGCGCTCCCGAGTGCGCGCTGCTTATCGTGTGAATAATACTACGTTCGTTGATATTTGCAAAAATGTCACGAGAACAATTGATTTTCTTTCTTATAAGCAATTGTCATTTTCAGCTCATTGCTTAAAATCACGTTCGAACTGACCTGCTATATTTTTTGCTAGCGATATGAAATCTTTATGAAACATTTTACGCGAGCAGCTTGTTCTCAACACACTAGCAATTACGTCTTTCTGTACTGGCTAATTTTAGATTGCCCTTTTTTGAATAGATTAAATCGGTTGCGTTCTCTACATCGCAACGAATCTATAACAACGGATGTTTATTTATTCAAACAGTCTCATTGGAAAAAATAGACTTTGTAGTTGACCCACACACGGAAGACCTCATTATACCTTTTGTTGCGCAGTGAATAAAGAGATGTATGTTATTTTCAAACAAATTTACATTTTTTTAGAGTGCCGAGATACTTTGCACCAACTTCACCTTCATTCTTATAAATGAGCAACAATGGTCGTCTCAATCTTTTGTAACATATAACGTTTTCACGCATCGGCAATTCCGTCATTGAAACGCTGTTGCGAAAAAAAATAGTGAATATTCATTTTCTTTTTACAAAATGACTTTTACAGGATAGACGTTAATAGAAATAATCAAGTGAAATCTTGTTAAGTAGCAGTGATGAGTTTGTTATAAGTGAAATTCCGTTCGATACTAGTGATGGGTTTGCTGCCTTATCCCATTAAATATCAATGGCAAGCTCGCGACGTTCCAAAAGAGCGGAAACTACTGGCAGCGTCTACTTAGCCGCTAAGTACTCTACTATCCTTATTCTAATAAAAGACGTAAAAAGTCGAAGGTTTAGCAGCGTAAGCCTTCGAAATAAATTCAAAGGAAATACGATGGTCCGATTTCAATCACAAAATAACTTTAGTTTAGCAAATTATGAATAATCCTAATGGACAACCATTATGTGTAAGTTTTTTATGTTCTTCGTATTAATAAAAATGTATATTTAATATGTCTTTATGAAATTGCAAATAACAAGTTTTGCATACTATGCTTTACTAGCTTGGTTATAAATTTTTAAGAACGAATGGCAAATGATAAAACGCAAGAAAATTTAGAAAAAAATAGTTTTACATGAAATGTTTGTTTTTATTCATACGCCGTAAGCTACTCACATTGATATCAATATACCAAAAAGTGAGCGATACAAATTATATTGACACGTGGAATTTTCGTAGTAATCGTTATAAGACTCTTGTATACTTTCAAAGTAATCAGTTTTAAATTATCCAAAGAAACCCTTGAACCAAAATTCGCGAAAAGATGTCATTTACTGTAAAACAATTTTACGTTCTCTATGTAATAAAGCTTTCATTTACGTTGAAAGTTAAGGTTGGAAATTAGGACAACGGGTTAACAATACCTCAGTTATTTCCACAATCCAAAACGAATGAGAAAGCAATTTTCATAGTTAACTTCTTTGTTTTTCTTTGTCTTTTACGAGAATGTATTCTTTGGATGAATTTCGAATTTAGATCAAGAAATAATTTATCAACCAAAACATAAGTATAAAGATACTTACATAGCTTAATCGATGCTTTGAAAAAATTTAATTTATAAAATTGAATATAAATTGATTGAAATGTGTAAGTGGCATTTAATATCGTTCAATTATTTTATAATAATTAAAACTGTTCGCTTGCTCTAATTATCATATTACCAATATATCACTAATAAGTCATGATTTACTATATAAGTAACAATTTGTTCTAGTATAATTTTAGTAAATTTCTGACTTATTTAATTTCCAGTAGATTTGTGATTAAAAAGAAGGATTCACAATTTGCATATTGCTGCGTCTACCAAGTTTCCAATCTTATATTGTAATTTAGAAACAATAAAACTGTCTCTGCTAAAATAAGGACATTCAACCGGATTGAAAATCCACTACGCTTTGAGTCTATTTTTGAATCCTACAAATGACAATTGAAATTTATCAAAGTAGAATAAATCTCAATCCTCTTTGATGTTTTTTTTATCCTGAAATTAATTTTACGTATTATATTAGTTAATATCAGAATAGAAAAATATTAAAGAAGATTCAGATCGTTTCCACTTTAATAAATTTAAATTGTTATTTGTAGGATTCATAAATAAACTCAAAACGGATTGGATTTTCAATCTCCTTATTTCAGTAGGGGCCTGACAAAATGTACAACTATTTGTTTTTCTAAGTATATTTGAATACTACAAGGTAATATATAATTACGTATTGCAGGAATGGATACTAATGGATACAAAATATTTGTAAAATGCATAGTTTACTGCGTAAAGCAACCTACATGGTTTAAAAATATTACACTTGTTGATTAATAATGTACGAATTTGCAGCGTATAAGGTTCGACCTAAATACGTAGGTTACTTTTTAATACAGATTCATGGTACTACTGGTTTACGTATGTCAGAATGTGATCCGTATAATTTTTTTTCATTTGCTATTGACCGCTCAACCGTTACAATCAACAGTACGTCTTAAATTATATCTGGACCCTTTATTGTATACTCTATAGCTGTGATAGTATACAGGAATTAAACTACCTCAATAAGCGATTTATAATTGTATAGCTTGACGAGATGATATAATTAAAATCAAATAGTCGGTATTGATGAAATACAAGTATTCTCGCGTTACACGTTCTTTTAGAGCTGTTCATAAAAATGAAAATGAAACAAGTTGTTACGACAACGATAAACTTGACTGCCTTTTGATTGGCGATAACACAATGAGGCAAAACTTGTCTACGTTATTAACTAGATTGGTTGCGGCTTCACCAATACTCGATAGATTAGTGATAGTCGAAGCAGTTAACGATGTAACTTGAGCTTTGTGTTAAAGAGCATTTGTAAAATCGTAATGGGTATCAGACAAATGTAACATAGACAGGGGGATATGCGAAATAGCATAAGAAACGACGAGGTTGATTGATAGATTGGATATGTCTGTAATGAATCTGAATGAAGCTCGAACAAAGAAGCGAAGCATAGTATGCAAAGAAGCTGAATAATAACGTTACTAGTTGGTGAAATGAGTCTGAATTTACGAGTTAATGAATTTTGCGCGACCTAATTGAAGTTTGATCGTTTGGTTATAGGAAGGAAGTCATAGTCCTGCAGTAGCTAGTTCATTGAAGTTTTGGTGAAGAATAGAGCACACGAGCGAGTCGAAACAATGGCGGAAGCCCAAATGGCTGTATTATCCGCGGCCAGCGATGCCGTTGGGAGTATGTCGATACCTTCGTTGAGCACATACCCGCAACAACAGAATGCCAGCTCGGGCTTGAGCGCTGAACAGATGACAGAGATCTTGCAAGGCTTTTACGAGGAGTTCAACAGCAAGACTAATTATCTTCTGATTGGGCTCTATGTGCCCGTTTTCGTACTCGCGATCACCGCCAACATCTTGGTCATCATCGTGGTCTTCAAGTATCAATATATGCGCAGGTAATTATTAGCGAGTAATTATTATCTACATCTTTATTTTCTGCATGTCATGACAATTTGAGGTGCAGAAGGGACTAACACTTTACCAATTTTATCTACAAATTCGACGATACGTCCAATGTGATTACTCCCTTAAATATTTAAATAGATATACAAATTATCACAAAATACCCAGCATGACCCGTATATTTAATGACAATACTATTATTCAGTTTCATACTCTGTCTTTTCAAGTGCATGCCTTTCTACGTTGTCGTTTTAGTAGCGATAGACAAAAAGCAGGGAACATTATATTTGAATATACGAATATGTAGATGAAGCTTTTTCCTTTGTATCCAGTAGTACCTAGTCCACTTTAGGAAAATTGTAGTGACAACGGCAATAACAAAGTCATGGGGATTCATAAATAGCATGAAAAGAATAAACCAGTAACCCGAATGCAATAAAGGTAAAAGTGGGTGGGGTAGGTGGTAAGGGTGATCGTGAGTGAACGAGTTGAATGGATTCAAGGTTTCGGATCGATTAGCCTGTACATTCAAGCCACAAGTTGATAATTTAAATGGATAGCAAAATACATTCAATCTCATTTACCGAATCGCTTCTTACACGTATACAAAATGATTAATTGAATAATTACAAACTTTATAGTTCTAAATTTTATACGAATGTTAACCAGACAAAGGGTGAAAATCTGTTAGTGATACTAAAGTATTTAGTGGTAAATAAAGGGTCTAGTTCTGCGTTGTTTCTAGAAAAATGAAAAAATGAGGACAAAAAGAAAACGCGAGTGTACCACATGGGAGATAAAAACAGGTATAATGCTAAAATAGAATCAGAACGAACGCAAACGGCGAAATAAAATTTTTTTGTGGATAAAGTGGGGGGGGGGGGGGGGGAAGTAAAAGCAGTGAAAAATAAGAAAAAAAAGAGGGGAAACGTCAAGTGAAGTCAAAGATAAAGCGTGAAAAAGGAAAAGTGAGTGATTTGTTGGGAGATTAGTCGAACTTTTGATGATTCATATGTGTCAAGACAAAAAGAAATTTCATAGCTGAGCGAGCAAGAAACACTCGAGTAACAGTTTGAAAGCTCTGAACTGCTGAGGCATCTCTAATAAATGATTAATGCTAAAATAGGATAAAATATGAATATTTTACATGTCAGATGCTCAAGCAAATGTAAACTACATAATATTACACTCCATACTCATTATAATTTATGATTACGATAAGTTAAATTAAACAAAATATTAGCGGCGTAATGCAATTTTTCTAATGTTACATGAAACACACAATTATAAATGATATTAATTTCTATTTAACACTTATTTATTATTTTTTAATAATTGCTCATTGAGAACTAGAATTGAGGCAGATATCCCGAAAAAGAAATGATCTTTGAAAAATAAAAACGGACTTTTTCTAATTACAGCACTAATAGTCATAACTTCACCATCTATAAATATAAAAATCTATCTTCCTCTTTATTATTTTCTATGTCGCATTGTTATAACAATAAGGTTTGCTTTATGTATTGTTCGTTGAAGTAAAATTGCACCACATTATATTTCATAACGCGATTCCGTCAAGGACTAGTAAAATCTATTTTGTAAAATTTATTATTGTTTGAATTTAATGTTTTTTAATACGCGTTGTGAGGCGGCTACATTTTTCGATTCGTTGAGAGAGGGGTAGCATCTTCCGGAAAACTTCGATGGGTATATAGCAGTTTATATTGAGTTTAGCCAGTTAGTCTTCCCTGTACAGCCAGCTCAAATAGTTAGGAAGTAGAGAGCTTGTGGTGTGATACCTTGTCACGTAGTCTATTCTAATAGTAAGGAAGCGAGGGATGATCCCAGTGATAGCGATCGAGTGTTGAGACGGAATAATAAACAAAATAAATTTTTATAATAATTAATTCAATTTATACTTAACTCTACTGTGTCTTTCTTTGTGGAATTAAGCTTTTCCTGTTATTCGTAGTTGTAGTTAGAAAATCCAACACAATATGTGTTAAAACTTTCATTCATGCAGATACTAATGTGAATCTTTACTTTTTCCAATAAATCCTAGATGTTCAGAGACTTTACCCCAGCTAGTATACCCCATGTAAGCGTAGTCTAAGAGGGTTGAAATAAAGATTCCATCGTTCACCTCTTTCTTTTTTAATAGGACATCCATTGTCTCTTGGCTCTCGATAGATACTTTGGAGAAATTCTTCTTCCAGACACGTAAAGCAACAAAATAAATTGCTTAATATTGCGACAGAAAAACTCTCTCAAAGAACATGAAGCAATAGTAAAACATGAAGCAATAGTAAAACATGTTGCTTAGCGTCGACAACCTTTTTCGTATCGATACACCGTGTCGCACCAATCGTTGTTACCCTAAGACTTTCATTGTCTCTCGAACTTTCCCTCTCCCTTACAATTTTTCTAAAGAGGCGAACTGACCTGCTTGGGATCTATCACATTTTTCGGACACTCTCGTTTAAACTCGGGACTTGACAACAGTTCGGCACTCCGCGCGCCTGTTCCGCTGTTTTTATTCTACCGACGAGTCAAAGTGTACTTCGCACAAAGTTTGTGTATTAATTAATAAATACATCTTAATACTCATTTCTATACACAATTATTGATCCTGAAATTTACATAAGTAAATGGTGCAACAATTGAAATTGACATTATGCAAGTGGATAAAACTATTCAAAAAGTGTCTTTTCAGTTCATATTAATTGCGTTATAATATCTCGAAACTGCAGAATCCAAGTAATTTGTAATTTGGAAACTTGACTGCAACAATGAACGACAGAATGACAAACTTTTAAGCAATCGTAATTGAAACTCTTTTCGAACGCCACGGAAAAGATTATAAGTTTTAAAACAATCGCCTTGAGATATAAGCGATTCTGTTTTAAATGAACGTCTCAGATAGTTGAAATGATTACTCTTGGAATCTTAAATGTCTTACTTAAAGAGGGCTTTCTCTTCTCGGCTGCGATGAGGTGAAAATTATTCACGCTCAAAATTATTTATGAAGCATCTGAGTGCATAAAGCTTAAATTGTTAAATAAATTGTACGTAATGCATTTTATAGTCCCTTTGGCGCTGTCAATGTAATAATGATGAATAATAAACAACGATAACAAGAAAGGCTCAAGGAAGATACTATATAATTTTATAAATAACTAGTAACTTACAAAAAAAAGGTGAGAGGTGTGAAAAGAGGGTAAACATTGTCGGTCATGACGGCGCCTAGCCATAAATCCTGTCCTGCTCTTTCCCTAGACGAGTGTCGCTAGCGAAGTGTAGGTCGATGAACGCGCGCTTAATTAAAACGACGTAGTGTCCTACACACCAATAGCAGACCAGCAGACCTGTAGCTTTTGTTCACCTCTTGAGATTTTATTTCCACGCTGATTTTCTCAAGGCGGCTATGGTAATATTTTGAATGTGGAATGAAAATAAAAAATGTTGCATTTTTGATCTAAGGTTGTTTTTATCTGAAATATAGGTTTCCAATTTACGAATAAAATCTTGATTAGCTAATCAGAAGCTTAAACGAAATGCAATAGATTTTAATGAGTCTTCAGCTCCGTTAACAGCTATTAATTTCAGTGATATAGGAAACTGTTAAAACTTTACCTACAGTGGATGTTTGAAAAGTAAGTTGCGAAGTGCTTGGCACAAATAGATAGATATTGTAAGCTGCAGTTAACATTGATTAAGAGGAATTAGGCTGAAAAGAAAGCGTCCGAAATTGTCGAGTAGACTTGAGAAACGTGATCAAGAAAAAGATACACTCGAAAATTGGTCTGCCATATACAGATATATATCTGCAGTAGCCACAGTGTGTTGGTATTCAACGAGAGCGCTACGTCCGTAGCAGTGATCTATATACATAATAGTGAAAATTTATCGTCTACAGCATCCCTACATTCGTGTAATTAATGGAACGACGATTCGACTTAATTTCTGGCTGAGTTCTCGCTAGGGATTTCGCCCTCTTTTTACTCTTATGACCGATGATCTGATAATTAGCAGCATTTAAAACCCTCTCTTCTTTGTAAACGTACCGTACTGTCTCTCTTTTTTGCTTTTCCAACTTTTTTTACATAAAACTTTCATTGCGTTCTACGTAAAATTTTTGTTATTGAAGTCACCGCCTTAACGAATGTCATATCTATGTAAATACACTTTTCTTGGAAATTCTATTTATACCAGAAATCGCAACTATGTTGATAATAACCGAACTAGACTCACGCCTGCTTGTTTTCGTACCCGCAAAACTAATATTTTCCGTGGTTTCTTATAGCGATTCCGTTACGTTTTCCGCTGGGAAAATCAACTTGTACAACGGCATATATTTCAGAGTTTGATTTAGTTGACGGATATAGTATATGCAAATAAGTTATTTTTTCGAGTTCATCTTCTTAATGACGTAATAAACAGTTTTGTCACACTTTTCTTCAATCAGTAGTAATAACAACGTTCAGTCAGACCATAATCACTTCAGTTTTTAAAATGTTTATCAAATTTAAGCTCAATGAACTTATCTTACAGATTATGCAAAATTTTATTTAACTCAAATTAAAATTTGTAGTCGCAAAGTGTAATAACAAGTGCACTTCGGTTAGAATTCAATTGTATCAAATTAAATAAGTTTGTGTAAAAAAAATTAAAATATCATACATTTTTAAAGACGACGGAGAGTATCGAGAAGAGGATTGTGCATGTGCTGGAATGGTTGTATTGAACGCAGAAAAAACAAAATTGCGAGTTGACGCGCCGAATAATCAGCTTGAGTATTGCTCTATCGGTAATTTTTGTAGATTGGTAGGCAGGATCTGTGGGTAGACCCATTTATTCTTGATAGAACGCGAACTCATTCAACAGGCTGAGGAAGAGAGAGAGAGAGAGAGAGAACATTGCGTTTAATATCGCGTCAAATGAGCCCGCACGATTAATGAGGCACTATCCATAATGAAGCGTAATTTACAGAGAA